TCAGAAAAAAAGACTTATTTATTTTGAAGTCCTGGACTTTGTAAAAATCAGTTTTGGTTAGGAATACTTTGAAAAATAAAAAAAAAGGAGTAAGATATATCTTTTAGAAAGCAAATCAATTAGGAATTTTAAGAAAATATTAACTTCTAGCTTCACCTTTATCCAGAGGAATAAAGGTGATAGGAATATATTTGTAGGAACAAGTGCAGGTTTCCTTATACCAATACATAGTTGATCCTTGAACAATGAGAACTACGAACTGTTTCATCCTATAGTTATTTACTATTTATTGAACAATATCCAAGTATAAGTGGACTGTGAATTGTGCAGTGGTCAAGAGCTTTGATACAAGACATATCTAACTTTATTATACAAAGATTTTGTGGATAAGAATATATTAATCTGATCCATGATAATTCTGGTTGCTTCTTAAAGTGGCATTGTAAAAATAAATGATAAGGTGCAGTTTTGCTGCATTTCAGAGCCTGGGACAGAGAGGTGTATGTTGTATGTGTTGTACACACACGACAGTAGGTTGTTGGTTTACACCTTTCCATGTTTCCTCCGTTATTAAAAGCCTCTATATTTGACCAGTAGAATGATTGGAAACACTTTTGTTTTACAAACATACTCTTTTTTTTTTTTTTAATGAAGGATAATTGCTTTACAGAATTTTGTGGTTTTCTGTCATATATCAAGAATCAGCCATAGGTACACCCATGTCCCCTGCCTCCTGGACCTCCCTCCCATCCCCCTCCCCACCCTTCAGCCTATTTCAGAGCCCCTGTTTGAATTCCCAAGTCATACAGCAAATTCCCATTGGCTATCTGTTTTACACATGGTATTGTAAATTTCTATGTACTCTCTCCATATATCTCCCCTTCTCCCTCCTTTCCTCCCACCATGTCCATAGGTTTGTCTCTCTAACTGTTTCTCCATTGCTGCCCTGATAATAAATTCATCGGTGCCATCTCTTCAGATTCCGTTTATATGTGTCAGTATACAATGTTTTTATTTCTTTTTCTGACTTAATTGACTGTATAATGGGTTCTAGTTTTCATCCACCTCATTAGAACAGATTCAAGTGTGTTCTTTTTTTATGGCTGAGTAGTATTCCATTGTATGTATGTACCACAGCTTCTTTATCCATTCATCTGTTGATGGACATCTAGGTTGCTTCCATGTTCTAGCTATTGTAAATAGCACTGCATTGAACATGGGCGTACACATGTCTTTCTCACTTTTGATTTCCTCAGGATATATGCCTAGGAGTGGGATTGCTGGGTCATATGTTGGTTTTATTCCTACCTTTTTAAGGAGTCTCTGTACCATCTTCCATAGTGGCTATATCAGTTTACATTCCCACCAGCAATGCAAGACTCTTCCCTTTTTTCCACACTGTCTCCAGCACTTACTGCTTGTAGACTTTATGATGATGGCCATTCTGACTGGTGTGAGGTGGTATCTCACTGTAGTTTTGATTTGCATTTCTCTCATGATGAGTGATGTCGAGCATCTTTTCATGTGCTTGTTAGCCATCTGTATGTCTTTGGAGAAATGTCTCTTCAGGTCCCTTTCCCACTTTTTGATTGGGTTGTTTGCTTTTCTGGTATTGAGGTGTATAAGATGCTTGTATATTTTGGAAATTAATTCTTTATCAGTTGTTGCCTTTGCTATGATTTTCTCCCATTCTGAGGGTTGTCTTTCACCTTGTTTTCTACAAACATACTCTTTTTTTTCTCTCTTTTTTTTTTTTTTAGAGTTTTAGAGGTTTATAAGTGAACAAGCAAAGCAAAATTTTAACACCTTGTCACAAGTATATTGAAGATGTAGTACTCAGTTCTGCTTCAAAAATAAGCTTAGAATGGTGTAGAATTATGCACTTTTAAGCAAGTCAGTATTTTTGTGTATGAAAATCAATTATTATGATAACTTCATATCTGAAAGTGCTTTTGCAAATCTCCATAGCTTAACATTGTCAGTTTGCTGAATGGCCAAAAGAAGTTTAAGCTGTCCCTGAAGTTTCAGCTCCCTTTTCTCCAGAATTTATGACCTTTCTATGTTCTAAACACATTTTAGACTTTTGGAGGAATTTATATAGTTCTGTACCAAAGTTTAGAGAACAGAATATTTGAGGTTCTCTCTCTAGTTTATCAGGCTGGATAGAGTCATGTCAATTAGCCTGAGAGTCATTTTACATTATGATATTTTGACATCAGTTATAAATATTTTTCTGTTTACACTTGTTTTGACTTTTCTTTGCCCTACTTCTCTGTAGCTTAGTACAGTTCTTTTAAAGTGTAACAACAGCAAGGATGGATAGACATTGTGACACAGCCACACAAAAGGAATGCCAGTTTGCTTTAAAAAGGAATGGACCAATATGCACAACAGCATGAGGTCATCCAAAACACTATGATTCCATTTGTGAGAAACTCCAAAGTAGGCAGTAGCAACAGAAAAGAAGACCAGTGATTGCCAGAGACCTGAAGTGTGTGTGTGTTGGGAGAATTTATTGCAGGGACCATAAAGGAACTTTTTAAAGTGATGGAAACATTTGATATCTTGATTGTAGTGTTGGTTATACCAGTGAATTTATTTGTCAAACTCATCGAACCCTATTTAAAATGAGTACATTTTATCATATGGAAATTACCTTTGAAGTTTAAAAGAGAGTTTAAACACAGAAGTCTAAAATAGGGCATGAGTAGTGAAAGTGTCCAAAAGTATGCTGTCACCATAAATTAGTAGTAAAGCAGTAGGCCTTAACATTGTTAAATATTGAATGTCACTGAATAGTTGTGAAAATTTATGCTAGTGTCCATTACTATGTATCATAGTATATATGAAGACACTTCAGTATTACATAAATTGAGTCATATTAGTGACTAATTTACAGGTTTTTAAAGTGCTTTTAAGTGAAAGTGGCAAAAAGTGGAAAATGACAAATAGATGGGGAAACAATGGAAACAGTGACAGACTTTATTTTCTTGGGCTCCAGAATCACTGCAGATGATGACTGCAGCCATGAAATTTAAAAGAGACTTGCTCCTTGGGAAAAAAGCTATGACAAACCCAGACAGCGTATTAAAAAGCAGAGACGTTACTTTGCCTACAAAGGTCCATCCAGTCAGAACTACGATTTTTCAGTAGTCATGTTACGAATGTGAGAGTTGGACTAAAAAGAAAGCTGAGTGCCAAAGAATTGATGCTTTTGAACTGTGGTGTTGGAGAAGACTCTTGGGAGTCCCTTGGGCATCAAGGAGATTAAGTCAGTCCATCCTAAAGGAGATCAGTCCTAAATACTCATCGGAAAGATTGATGCTGAAGCTCCAATACTTTGGCCACCTAATGCAAAGAATTGACTCGTTGGAAAAGACCCTGATGCTGGGAAAGATTGAAGGCAGGAGGAGAAGGGGCGATAGAGGATGAGATGGTTGGTTGGCATCACTTGACTCAATGGACATGCGTTTGAGCCAGTTCTGGGAGTTGGTGAAGGACAGGGAAGCCTGGAGTGCTGCAGTCCATGGGCTCGCAGAGTCAGACATGACTGAGCAACTGAGCTGAACTGATAAGTAAAAGTACCTTATTTGTTTTTTTAATTGCAGTTTTAATATAATGTGCACTGGTGATTTTTTTCCCTCTAAATTGAACATTTTTTGTCTGTTCCAACTTCGTTGCATATTTTGGATAGAGAGATAAGTGTAATATTTTCTGAAATAAGAATTTCTAAATTTTTTAAATGTTAAAAATAGTGACATTATTAGCTGAACATATGAAGCTTACTTCATTAGCTGTCCAGGACTTCCCAGGTGGCTCAGTGGTGAAGAATCTGCCTACCAAGGCAAGAGCCACAGGAGAAGCGAGTTCAGTCCCTAGGTCAGCAAGGTCCCCTGGAGGAGGAAATGGCAACCAACTCCAGCATTCTTGCGGGGATACTCATCCCATGGACAGAGGAGGCTGGCGAGCTACAATTCATGGGGCGGCAAAAAGTCAGATGTAACTGAGCAATCACTCCCTCATAATCTGTCTACATGCTATGTCCATCTTTCAGATTTCAGTGGGGAAAAAAAACTTGAGAAGAAACAGGTGATCTGGAGAATTGTATTAATTGTACAGTTGGTCTCTGAGAAAGTTAACATCTGTTTAAGGTGACACGGAAGTTTTAATGAAATATGGTCTGTTGACTTCAGAGACCTTTCACTGCTGGGGTTCTATGTTTAGATAGAGCACAGCGCCCAGAATGTTGTCTCATCACGTACGGGCCTAGGGTAACAACGTAGTTTGAGGAGGTGGCAGTAGAAGATACTCTGGTGGCTTCCCCGTTGTTTGTAACAATAAACTTTACTTAGTTGCTATACCTTTTTAGAATCTGTTGTCCCTATAAAGGTGTTAGATTTCAGATTATCCTGTGAAGTGTTGTGCTTGTTTAACTTTCTTCCCCTAATTGTATTCTCTAAATTGGACATTTTAATAGGCTTCAGTTCAAATGTGTATTCCTTGCAGAAGGGATGGTAAAAGAAAACATTTTGTTCTTTTGTGGCCTTATTGATGAGCATTATAGAAACTAGGTGTGATGGGGTACTGCAAAGATAAGGTAGCAATAAAGTACTAAATGAAATACTGAAAGTCTTAAAATACATAGTATATGCAAAAAAAAAAAAATCTTTTGGCTTTAGTTAGTAGAGAAGAGCAGTGGAGGAGTAGAGATGTGATGGGAACTTTTAAAAGAGGAGGATTCAAGGGATGAGGTCGGAAAGCTTGAGTCAAGGTTAGGCCAGAGTGAGAAGACGTCTCCTTGGACAGTCATGCCAGGCACGGTCTAACTTCCCCAGTATGAGCCGGTGCCGTGAAGGCCGACTATGCAAGTAGACCTAGAGGCTGCTAGAGAGCCCATGGAAAGAGTCGGTGGAGTTTTGACCAGGATGGCGGCCTGAAGAATTTTGTCATTTTTAAGATGACTCCTTTAAACATGTCCCTCTTGCGTTTCACATTTGTAGGTTTAAGAAAATCTACCAAGAAGCGCAGCGAATCCCCGCCTGCCGAGCTCCCCAGTTTGAGGCGGAGCACACGCCAAAAGACCACGGGCTCCTGCGCTAGTGCCAGGTAATAATTTGGGCCTGTCAGTGTGTGATTAGTTCATTTCCTGGGTCCAGCTTTCCCCAAAGGCCTTCATTTTATGAGTTTTTAAAACAAATTTCATGAAAGTTTTCTTTTTGAAAATCAAGCAAAGAAATTCATTCTAAATAGAACTATTATTTCTGTCAATTCTTCCCCAATATTTAGCTTAACTTTTTTGTCTTTTTTGCTAAGTTTTAATCATGCCTTTTTGGGGACAACACCTTTGTCTTCTACCTTTCCCTCTGTTGTTTTACGTTATTTGCCCAGAGTTACTGCCAGCAGTTGGACATTTGGTTGTTTTCGGAGTTCCTGTCTGCTAAAGAGCTCTCTAATGAGCATCTTTATGCAGATTTGGGTTATTTTTAAAGGTAGCTAAATTTCCCAGTAGTGTGATTAATGGATCAAAAGGGATGCCTGTTGTAATGGCTGTAATATTGCCTAGTTAGTTTCTAAAAGTGTTGGCAGGAGTGACTGAGTGTAATGGGTGAGGGGGAGAGAGGTACTTCATTTTCATCTTGCCTTACAGCACCCATCCTCAGGGGAAGCTGTGGGTTTTGTTTGTGTTCTTTCACGTCTCCATTTTTCCCACTTTGAGCCCATTTTCAGAAAATCATCTACCTTTGACATATGATACACAGTATATTATTTCCCATACTTTCATTAACAGATTCAGAACCTTAGGTTGAAGTTAAAAAATCTTGTTACTCCACTTTCATGTCAGATTTTCTGGCTTGGTCAGTTTTGGTGTCGTGCTGCTAATTAGCACAACCACATGGGACTTCTCCCTCCTTTATGTGTAATTTGCTGCTTTTGTATATTGTTTCTTCTCTTTACTAAATGTGCCAAAAACCAGTGATGGTGTGGGTGATTTTTCGTTTGCTCTTCCCATCTCAGGTCAGTTGAAATGTTTAGTGCTCCTTTGGTTCTTCTCTGAGGTAATCAACTTTATACCTTTGGCTGTGGATACAGTAATAACACAAGGAAATAGAATGACTTGTTGCCTAATAATAAGTCACAAGGAAAGGACTCTAGGCCCTTTAAGCTCTGTTTTCCACTTGTTTTCTGGTTCTATCAGGATTGTTTAAAATATTTTTTAAATATCTGGAGTTAGTACACCTGTTTGCCTTTGAATTCTGTCGGCAGTACTTTTATGAGGACCTCTGAGATGATTTCTTGATTCTTCAGGGCTTTCGCCCTATTTTGGACCAAACTTTGAATCCAGGTTACCCAAGGTTTATAATCTTAGATATAAACTGAATTCACTGTGGTTGAAAATTAAGTTTGAACTGTTCATAGAGTCAGGTAATCTAGTGTCCTGACTTTCTCTGCAGCCTTCTTTGCTCTTCCTCAAGAGCACTGTCTTAATGCACTAGGAGTTAATTTATTTACATGCTGCACACAAGCTGTCTACCCGCCTGTCTGCAGCATTCTTCATCTCAAGCTTTTCGGAATTTGCTGAAATTCCTCTTAAATTTAGTATTTTCATAGCCTCTTGTAGCTGTAGTCTCATCACTCTGTAGACTGACACGCTTGAGGGCAGCAACCAAATGTTGAGCACAGAGCGTGTCACATGATTGATGCAAATTAAATGTTAAATAAGTGACTTCATTTGAATCGCAGTCATTTGTAGCTTGGTAATTTGGGTTTGGAATGAGGTTTTTTTTTTTCTGAAGGAAAGACTGGCTGAGGAAATCCCTGTTTTTTATTTATTTATACATAGTACATTTATTTATTTATTTATTACTAATTAGAAGAATAAATTCTTCTACAACTCTGGTAATTCAGAGCCTTCATTTCCAGGTCACTTATGCCTGCTTCCTCCTTGTTCTTTATCAAGTAGCATTTTTCACTGTAGCTTGACTTTAGTCTAAAACATTTCTTTAGTAGGTTTTTGCACTTCCAAGGTCATTTGGGGGAGCTGCTGTTTAAACAGTATTAAATTGTAGTAATTTTGGAAGTCTTTTGTCTGTGCATGATTTGCTTACTGATTTCACTTATTAAAATAGAAAAGTGTCAATGAAATGTAGTTTGCTTCATGATAAATGACTAATAATTCTTTTTTCCACATCTTACAGTAATGCCTCAATGTGAAGCAGGTGTGTTCCCAGATGTCATCTGTATCTATCTATAAATATTGAATATTTAGTTCTTTATTTTAAAGGAGAAGCCATTGTCCATGATGAGGATAGTAACTTTTTTGAAGATGTAAATCATCTGGGACTTAAGTGATGGGAACTTTGCCCATTGTCTTCTCTCTTCTTACCTGTCCCCCATTTTCAATTATCAGTCTGAAACTCCATATATTGATCTGCTATTTACCCAAGAATTAGATCTATTTTGAATGAATTGTTTCTGCTAAAGGAATCACTTTTCCATTTAGTTGAAGTGTTTAAAGATCACTTCTGTCTGAAAGGATGACAACAGCTCATAGCCTCACAAAAGCTTGTATTGTCAACATGATATAGCTTGGAAGAGTTTTAAATATACAAAGTCTTGGTTGTTACCCATAGTGATTTTCTGCAACAATTTTTATGTAAAAAGAAGAAACTCGCTTTGTGTTCCATGGATTGGAGCTTTGTGCTGTGTGGACATTGCTCCTGGTCACTGGGAGCGCTGCCTATGATGGCATTTTTCTGTCGTAGTCGGCGAGGCTCTGGCCTGGGCAAAAGAGGAGCAGCTGAAGCTCGTCGACAGGAGAAGATGGCCGACCCTGAAGGCAACCAGGATACGGTGAACTCTTCAGCTGCACGGACAGACGAGACTCCCCAGGGAGCCGCAGGTAGATTGGTACTTCTTAGGCCTAAAATGTGTTTATGTATCTTCCATATTTATTTGGAGATAAATTACTTTTTAGGTATACCAAGTATAATGGAAGAGAGGAGGCAGCTACATCTTAAGATGTTAATAACCATCAAACTTGTTTTATTTCGTTTTATAGATTTGGTTTTTGATTAGTTGTATTGTTTTTTGTTGTATAATTTTTTTTCCCCCAAATCCAAATTTGTACTAATTAAGTTCAAAGGGCTTTTAAGAAGCAGAAACTCCCTTTCTGTTTAAGCTTATTAAATATTGATCAATACTTACAATAGTTGCCTGCTGATTTGCTTGAAAAAATTAAATTCATAATAAAAATGTATGGATATAGTTTAAATTGCTTCATACATGTGCAGATTTTAATATAGAGTGTTGCAGTCTGTAAAAAAGAAGTATTCGGTTTGAACCTAGCAGCTTTAAGAATAATATTATTCCTATTTTTTTATTCCTATTTTTATGGGTTTTTTATTCTTGATATCTTAGCGCAGCAAAAATTAAGTCACCCCACCCCAAGTATGTATCCATTACCAATACATAAAGCAGGCTAAGACTTCAGTGGCTGATTGTGACTAACAAGTTTAAGTAGTTTGTTAGAAGCATTTGTCACTAATATTAAAACAGATACAAAAATACTAGAATTCAGCATTATGAACATATGGTTATAAGTCCCTTAAATCTAGATAATATGTATAACTTTAGGTGTAGGCATATATATTCTTTCTTTTGAATGAATGAAGTTCTTTCATGTATTTTTATTTAATATCAGAATATGTGCCAGTTTTCTTTATTGCCTACAGTCAATCATATGTACTGGTTTGACAGGAAGGTTCTGGTTTTCCCACTACTGTCCATGTTTTTTGCCTTTTATCTCAGCTTTCTGTCCAGCTTAACATCTTTACCAACAAGTCTTTCCTGGTTTTATATGATAAACTACATGGTGAACTTAACAGCATCTAATCTGGTAGTGCCTTTTTCCTAGAATAGTTTTTCTGAAGGGTTAAGTGGTAGAGTTTTGGAAGAATAAAGTGCATCACACGTGCAGCTCATTGAAGCTCTACATAACACAGCTGATGCTTCAAGTCTGCATGTGGAAGTGGAGCGGTTCCTATGTGGATGATTCTTGGAGAGAGAGCTGCTGAGTGTGTTGTTAAAGTGGACTCATTATGATAATTATAATAGCTAACATTTACACAGGGTACACCCCATTGCATACACACTGTTAAGCATTTTACATGTATTCTTATTTAATATTTGGAACAACCTGCTGAGGTGTGAGCACTGTTATTCTCATTTATAAATGAGGAAAATTGAAATGCACAGTCATTAAGCTTGCTAGGGTTACAGGCCCGGATGTGTGATTCTTGAAGTGCACAGTTGAAACAACAGCTGTGTTCTGCTTCCCTACGGTTACTAGTTGGTTTAATTCATATGAGTATAATTGGAGGCCAGAATGAGGGGGCAGTGTGTGAAATTGTGTTCCCTGGTATATTCACCTAAGAGGATGAAGACTTTAAGGGGTTAGATTCATAAGATTGCCCCCCTTGAAGGCCTGCCTCCATATTTGAAATCACAGTGTAATCTTGGTATTGTCCAAGTTTATGTCAAAGATATATGTGGCCTGTTCACTGATATTAGAAAGCACTAACTTGATTACATTTTGGAGGCTGCATTGAATACTGTAGGGCTTTCTCTGCCAGTTCACTCAGGTAGTTCTAGAGGAAGAGGCAAACTTCTTACAAGCTCTATATTGAATATAGAGCTATATTAAATATAGAGCTATATTAAATTCTTCAGTGTAATGTGCTTTAGTTTTTCAGTATATAAAATTGGAATTAAAAAAAATAACACTCTTTTAAGCTAGTGTTGGATATTAATTGATGGTGTTAGTTTAGAGCATCTTTTAGCATGCACCTGTATAATGTGTAATTATATTCTGAACAACCATTCTTTTGGCCTTGCTCAAAAATTTTCATGACACAAAGAATGTATTCTTGTTGCTAAGGGTAAACCCTTAGCCATTCCTGTTAAGTAAAAGTGAATTCTGTCAGCTTTAACTGTATATTGGAAACTGTCTTACATGGTACTGTGATGATATGTGGAGACTCGATGGGCAAGATACCAATTTAAAAGAATAGACTGACGTCTCTTAAAATCTGAGATTGGGTTTTTTTTTTTCTGCTTGATAACCTTGCTTTTATTAATACATTGTGTCTGGGGATGGATTTTGTGTGTGTTGTCCAACATTTGATGTGTTCATTGAAGAGCTGTGTCACTGACTGCTAGGAATGGAATACATTTCTTTACCTGCATGAGTACAAACAGCCACTCATAGGCTGAGCTAGTTTGGTGTATTAATTTTGTAAAACTTACAAAAAGGGAGCTACAGTAGGCCAGTGCTTTTAATACTTCCTTTCAAAGTTATGGCTAGCTCAGCTGGTAAAGAATCTGCCTGCAGTGCAGGAGACCCTGGTTCTATTCCTGGGTTGGAAAGAACCCCAGGAGAAAAGGGATAGGCTACCCACACCAGTATTCTTGGGCTTCCCTGGGGGCTCAGGTGGTAAAAAAATCCACCTGCAAAGTGGGTGACCTGGGTTTGATCCCTGGGTTGGGAAGATTCCCTGGAGGAGGGCATGGCAATCTGCTCCAGTATTCTTGCCTGGAGAATCCCCGTGGTCAGAGGAACCTGGCGGACTCTAGTCCGTGGGGTTGCAAAGAGCTGGACACGACTGAGTGACTAAGCACAGCACATCCATCAAAGGTATGGCAGCTCGAAAGAATCTTTTGCTTTGGGTTCAGTGATTTGTATCCAAATAGGCACTCATCTCAATTAAAAATGAGAATATCCATGCTCCTTCTTGTAGAGAACCTGTGGCTCCCTGAAGGTTGGGACCTCACTATAATAATCTTAACAGCTCTTTTAATTCTGTGCTTTTACGTCTTGGTTAAGGTCTTTGTAGCAGGGCAGTTTGAGGTATTTATTATTCATTATGTAAATTCTTAGAATACTCTTTAAGAAGTAACTTAAAGATAAACCTGTAGAATGGTTTAAAGTAAAACCAGTAGACCCTCTTATAAAACCCTCTAGCATTACCTTTAGTGAACCTTTCCGTAAAAAATGTGGTTCCAGAGTTTTTGAGGGGAGGAGAATACATGACAGCAATTTTGTTTCTCACAAGTTTGTATTTGATTTCCACAGTTTGTAAGTGTTTCAAGGCAAGTTTAAGAGCCACTTTGCTAAGTTTAGTAATAATTGGGACCCAATAGCAGAATTGGTTAACATGGTTTCTGTATAATGTGAAAGAGCCAGTGTACATAAATTAAAAATTAGTACTGAAGAATACATTGAAGGTTCTGATAGTGTGTAGTTAATAAGAGTACAGCTTGTAAAGTCATACTTCCTGGGTTCAGATCTCATATCCGTTGTTAGTTGTCTGATCTTGAGCAAGTACACACAAAGCCTAGGTTTCCTCTTGTACATGACAGCGCTTGTAATACCTCTTTGTTTTGTTGAGAGGAAACATATGGACACATTCTCCATGGAGTTAGCATTTAATTAGTACCTTTAAGCAGCATTACAAAGTAGTCATGGTTATTTCCTTTTGTTTTGTTTTGTTTTTTGTTTTCAACAAGTATGAAGTTTACTAAATTCTGATACCTTTAATATAACCATTTCTTCTTAGCCTGTAACTCTGAACCAGGGGTTTGTCAGCATTTTCTGTAAAGGGCCAGATTAATTGATGTTTTAAGCTTTAAATAAGCTCTGTTGAAACAATTCTGCGGTTGTAGCACAAAAGTAGCCATAGTTAATAGGTAAATGAATGAGTGGATATATTTTAACAAAATTTTATTTGCATAGTGATGTGCTAGACTGGATTTGGCCTGTGGACCACAACATGCTGACTCCTGTTCTAAACCATACTTTTTTTTTTTTTAATAAGTTTAAAAAAAAATTCTAGTGAAATGATAGGATACTTAAATGAGGAGTGAAAAAAAGTGTTATGAAAACATGGAGTTGGTGGCTAGTATATTAGCATCTCTTTGTTCAGAAAAATTTGTTACATTCACATAGGTGATCCATGTGCCTCTTTTAATAATGACAAAATTATTTGTCTTGGCTTGTGTTCTGTCATTAATCTGTCACATGGACATAGTAAAGTATTATGGATGATGTGGTCATTCTACATAGATGAATTGTTTGTACAAAAAATGCTTTGGGACTCAACAGAAACTGAGAGGAAGGGGCAGTTAAGCTGCTGGTTTTACAGGAATATATTTTTATCTCTTGGTCAGATTTGTAATAGAATCAACCACTGTTTACTTAGACTGAAGTATTGATCAGGTTAGCATTTTGTGTAGTAGAATCCTTCTGAATGTGACTTCTTCTTTCCTTTGTTTTGACATACTAGTTGCTTTCTCTTTTGTACTTAAATGTTTTGTGGTCTTCTGTTAATGTGTATCTTCAGTGTTTTGTCCTGAAAATAAGAGAGCAGAATCTTTGCATACTCTTGAAATGGAAGAAAACATGGCAAATGATTATATCAAGGCTCTAGTCCAGACTAGACTAGACTAGATAGAGCAGACTGAAGAAGGCACACACCCCTATGGATCATTCTCCCTATGTTACGTTTGTGATTACTTGCCTGTTTATTAAATATCACAGTGGCTTTAGCAGTGTTATATTTATGGACTTTTCATAGAGGAGTTCAGAATAAGACTGAATTGAGGAGCAGTTTCAAAGAGAGGTTGGTGTCTCAGACGGTAAAGCGTCTGCCTACAGTGCGGGAGACCCAGGTTCAATCCTTGGGTTGGGAAGATCTCCTGGAGAAGGAAATGGCAACCCACTCCAGTATTCTTCCCTGGAAAATCTAATGGACGGAGAAGCATGGTAGGCTACAGTCCATGGTGTTGCAAAGAGTTGGACATGACTGAGCGACTTCACTTTCACTTTCAAAGATAGGAGGAAACTGTGAAAATCATATATGAGTGAAATGCAAGGCTTGTATGTTATGTTTGTTTCTATTATCATTGAGCCATCTTTTTTTCCATAAAAGCTACATAATAAAGTCTAAAAGAATGTTTACCTTTAATGTATTATTATCTGTGAATCTTTGCTTTTTCTTTTTAAAGATAAACCAGACATAATGAGTTTTAGATATTCTTCTCCTAACCCTTACCTTCTCCACCCCACCTCTGCCACCACGCCCCACCCCCCCCACCCCCCCCAGCCTCTAGTTCTGTTGCAGGGGCTGTGGGCATGACCACCTCTGGGGAGAGCGAATCTGATGACTCCGAGATGGGACGGTTGCAAGGTAAAGACCGTTATTAAGCTTATACGAAACCACAGTCATGGGCTGCCTGTCACTGTGTTCTTTATTGAAATTTGAATAAGCTCATATAACTATAATCTAGCAGTGCCCACCAATATCTCAAAAAAAAAAACTCTTGATTTACTGATTAGATGATTTGGAATTGGAAGATGACCCATTTGTTTCTTCATCTTTACTATTTAAATAGATAAAATCTTCTGTAGTGTATTTTTTATTGTTAATTTTTTTTTTTTCATTATGGTTACACATGCAGCTAGTAATCAGTTACGGATGATACTGAAGAGGGGTCATTTCATATATTGTTCTCTGGTACCTAATAACAGTGCATCTGGTAGGATGCTTTTTTGCTGTATTCTTTTGTATTCTTGATCAGCTATTTCAAAATGAATGTAGAGTGTATGCATAAATTCTAGGCATTATAATGTAAGTGCTTTTTTAAAAGCAGCTTCGTATTATGTATACGTTGTTTACAAGTGCATGGGTATGTATTTTTATTGTCTTCAGTTATTTATCCAGTCAATCCCCAATGAGACTTAATAAGAAACATTAATGAATGAGTTCCAGATTGTCTTTTTGACTGAAACTCTAATGAACAGTTTTTCTCACTTTTGGGGACTGATAAAAATGATTTTTCCTATGTTTTTAGAGAATCTTATGATCATATCTGATTAGGAAATAATAAAAACAGAGCAAATGTACATAACATATAACTTCTTCAAAATACATGTTTACTTTAGGTTTTTCTTGGACTATTTACATGGTCCCTGCTGGCACTGATGTTTAATATATCCATAAACCTTTAAGACACCCTGGAGTTGACACATATGGATGTTGTAACTTATAGTAATCAGTATATAAAAGTATTAGTATATACAAGACATTAGTATATACAAGTGTCATTTTGAAAAGTTGCATGTAGCTTCTCTCTTTTTTTTAATATTACTTTTATTTTAATTGGAGGCTAATTACTTTACAATATTGTAGTGGTGTTTGGCATACATTGACATGAATCAGCCATGGGTGTACATGGTGTTCCCTGTCCTGACCCCCGCTTCCACCTCCTTCCCCATCCCATCCCTCATCCCAGTGCACCAGCCCTGAGCACCCTGTCTCATGCATCAAACCTGGACTGGTGATCTGTTTCACATATGATAATATATCATGCAGCTTCTCTTAAAGTTTAAAATTGAAAGTAGAATTGTTTAAATGAATTATGTGGTGAATCAGTTGTTGGAAGCTTCTAGATGAGGTAAGCTTAACTCAACTGTTCCTCCTGCTCTGCTTTTTTCCTTAGCTCTGTTAGAGGCCAGGGGTCTTCCCCCTCACCTGTTTGGTCCTCTTGGTCCTCGGATGTCACAGCTTTTCCATAGGACAATTGGAAGCGGAGCTAGTAAGTGTATACTTTTAAATTTGTCCTCTCCAAACTCTTATTAGTTGAGTGCGTTCTTAAACTGTTTATCTATTCATGTAGGAGAGTTTTCACATTGGACCTTTTCATGAACTTTAACCTATTTTAAAAAGTAGAGCTTGTGCATATTCTTACCTTAAATAATAGCAACTCTTCAAGATTTTCTTCTATCATTTTATGTTTGATTACTAAATTGGAGCCACTGGAAAACCATCCATAGTTAACAGCAAAATTTTTTTTTTTTTGAGCTGTAGAGGATTAAAGACTCAGGTGATTATTTTGGTTATTATAACATCTGATTGCATGATTTTCATAGATTCATGTCTTGAGTTTTTTATGGTATAATACATTTTAACCCAATAGGCAGTTGATTATACAGTGAGCCCAAATGGAAAGATTTCTTACAGAATTAGCAATAACTAGACTCTTTTAATCAAATTAATGTAACCCAGAAATCTTATCATATATGGTAGACATAAGAGTGACTCTTTAAGTTTGTAACTAAGAGTATGAATTTGCATAATTACAAATTCCATTAAATTCCATTTGGTATAGAGTACTACCTTTAGCTTCCTTAAGCAGTAAAAAATTTACATTTAGGCATTTTTTAAAATTGAAGTATAATTGATTTACAGTATTATATTAATTTCTGATGTACAGCAAATTAACTCAGTTATACATACATTCTTTTTTGCATACATACATACATTCTTTTTTACTTATCTATAGTGTTTCCATAGAGTCAGTAGGCTATTTGCAGACTTCAGTCTTAATTTCAAAACTTCTAAAGTGTACCGAAGCTTATTAGCACTGAACTTAAAAATACGTATTCATACAATTTTCAATCAAATATTCTTTTTTTAAAAAAAATGCAGTGTGTGTATATGTGCTCATATATATGTGCTTGAATCTTTTTTTTCATTATGTATATATGTTATTGAAGTATAGTTGACTTAATGTTTCAGGTGCATAGCAAGGTGATTCAGTTATACATATACACATTTATTTTCAGATTATTTTCTGTTGGTTACTACAAGATACTGACTGTAGTGAGCTTTCCTGGTAGCTCAGACAGTAATGAAATCTGCTTGCAATGTGAGAGACCTGGGTTAGATCCCTGGGCTGGGCAGATCCCCTGAAGGAGAGCATGGCAACCCACTCCAGTATTCTTGCCTGGAGAATCTCCATGGACTGAGGAGCCTGGCAGCCTGCAGTCCGTGGGGTCGCAAAGAATCAGACACAGCTGAGCGACTTAAGTATACACACACACAGTGTATACTATAAATCTTTGTTGATTGTTGCATATCTCGTTGACTCTTAATATGAATAGAAGGCTAGATTTCTAATGTACTTGCATCTTAACTTGACCTTATGGAAAAACTTGAACTTTTTGACTAACCAAATACTTGAGGATTTTAAGAAGCAATTGGTATTTTTGTTTTTATTTTCTTTTGCTGCCCTGTTACTCATCTCTCAAATAACACTCTCCTGCAGAGTTCTTGAGGACCCTGGAATATTGATTTTTTTATTCAGTGTCATTTATTAGGCACTGGGATTGTTCTGAGTCATGAATAGGATGATAAGCAGAGTTGTTTCCCACATGGAAACTTCCCTGTTAGAATGTGACCCTCGCAATAAGCAAGACAATCATTACATAGTAAAATTTCAGGTAGTGTCATTACAGTGAAGGAAAACAAAGCAGAGAATGGAAGGAGATTGCTGGTATGGTGATAGGCTGGTTAGAGAAAGCTTCTCTGAGGTGTGGAGATTTTGTGTAGTATAAAAGTGAGAAAACCAGCTCTGCAGAGGATCTGAAGGAAGGAGGAAGTGCACAGCCAGAGGTGGAAATAAGTCTGGCCTGCTCATTAGACTGCGGGAGGGGCATAGGAAGGTGAAAGGAAAGTGGTAGAAGATGAAATCTGAGAGGTATAGGTACTTGGCAGGTCATGTTGGACCTTTGCAGGCCACAGCAAATGTGGGGTTTATCCTGAGGATAATTGGGATTTATCTTTATTATGAAAAAGAGCAAACACATGAAAGTTCAAAGTATTAGTAGTATATTAACTTCCATAAGCCCATCAACAGTTATCAGTCCACACAACCATTGTTTCATTTTTACCCTTAATTGTTCTCCCCATTCCCAAGACTATTTTTATTTTTAACTTTTCTTCCTGGATATATTTGAATTTCTGACTATAAAAGTAAGGACATTAACATTTTTAAACAGTGTTGTGGTTATATTAAGATCTATACTTTACCATAAGTACATTTGTGTGTGTGTGTGTTTTAAGAGAAATTTGATTTCATTTATCTTGCCACTTCATTTATTTTTGGGGGAACTTTTTTTTTCCTGGAGAGAAAAATTGTTGCAAAGCTACCTAGGCATATTATCATTAAACATCAGAACTCCATATTAAGGCTTGACTCTTGCACGTGGAATTAATGTAAACTGTACACTAGAATCAGAGTAGAAAACAGTTACACACACCCATGCCCATGACTCAGCTTCAGCAGTGCCTACTTTGTGGCCAATCTGTCTTTAACACTCACCAGCATCTCTCCTCTTGCATTAATTTGAAATGAATCCTAGATATTCTATAATTTTTTCTATAACATTTCATCATGTAGCTCAAGATAATGCCCCTTAAAACACACGTACATATAGGCACATACATCCAGATTACTATTGTTATATCTGAGAAAGAAACTAGTAATTCCTTCTTAATAGATGCCAATCAGTCAGATTTCCATTGTCTCAAATGGAAAAGCAAAAGTAAATGAATAAATAAATAAAGTAAATTTCTTGTAAACTGGTAGTTGGGTCTAGAGAGTTTTTCAGGTTCAAGTTTGATTCTTTATTTTCCTCCTCTGATGGGGAAAGACGCTGCCAAAGTGATAGTGTTTTCTCATATTTAAGAAGCACACAGAGTCATATCACCTCCTAAGCCATCAAAACTCAGTGCCTAGATAACAGGGATTACAAATGAAAGTATTTCATATCTAATGATCAGTCTCCATTTATTAGGAGTAAAAGGAGTAATTTTGTTGAAATATATACTGAGTCATGTCCCTACTCTTTGCGGCCCCGTGGACTGTAGCCCGTCAGTCTCCTCTGTCCAAGGACTTCTCCAGGCAAGGCTGCTGGAGTAGGTAGCCATTTCCTTTTCCAGGGGACTTTCCTGACTCGGGGATCGAACCTAGGTCTCCCACATTGCGGGCAGATTCTTTACTATCAGAGCCACATGGGAAGCCCATAGAAAAAAAATCTCTCCCTTCTGTTTGGTTACCCAGGAAAATAGTTGGCATAGGAAAAATATCTTCTACCCTTTATTTACCAGTTTTCCATTCAGAGTGCTGTTGTTATTAAGTATCATTGTCAAGCAGGTTGAAATGTGTTTTAGACATTTCACTGATTTTCACTGATGGTTAAATTTTCCACTCTTTGATCTTTTTGGTGTGATCTCAGTAGTTTTTGAAGCCCTCTTTGCTTTCTGGTGAGTCAAGCTCAACAACTCCAACCATGAACTGAATGCCTGAAATCAGGCATTACCTCAGAGAGCCCTGGTTTCCTTTATAGGAAATGGTATTTAGATCCCACAGTCTCGGCTGTAGGTGTATTTGCTACTGGATTGATCATTGTTATTAGACTTGTTTAATGGACAAACCTAGGAAATGATAATACTTAATCTCTTAAGATAAAAACAAAGAATTCATACTGATAATGCCAATTCAAATTCAGGTCTTCAGGGGTTTTATTTATCTGGTAATTTCATACCAAAAGTTTCAGTTCCCAGGAATAGTTAGTTAGTTATCAGGGCTTCTCTGGTGGCTCAGATGGTAAAGAATGTGCCTGCCATGTTGGAGACCCGCCTTTGGTCCCTGGAGAAGGGAATGGCTACCCACTCTAGTATTCTCGCCTGGAGAATTTCATGGACAGAGGAGCCCGGCAGGCTACAGTCCCTGGGGCACAGAGAGTTGGACGCGGCTGAGCGAGAGTCACTTTCATTTATTTATTTACTTTATCCTACAGTACAAAATTCAGCTTTGCACCAAAACTAGTCATATTGAGAAAGTTTTAGTTTTGCAATAGTTCTTTTTTTGTTCTTGGGCTGTATCTCACTTTATGGTCAGCTTTTTGTATTTTGGAGTCATTTGAAATAATTTTGTTCATGCTGCCAGGTTGGTTTGCCTCCTTTGCTTTATTTTGCTTATAATTTTTAGGTATTGACTTTAAAATGTTATCTGGCTTTTATAATTCTTATTATTTACATGGTTCCTGAAGTCAGATCTATAAATTTTTAAAAGTCTTAACATCTTTTATTATCCCTTTAGCCTGTTTCCTCCTCCCACACAAATAACCTTTGTAATTTTATGGCCTGTCCTTTTGCTATTTACTTAAGAAAAGAAAAACAAATCCATATTGTCTACTTCATACACACTGCCTTTCTTAGATAAGAGTAGTAAACTTTGCTTTGCCTTCCTTTTAACAGTAAATCGTGGTGTTCACTTTTCATAGATGCTGTCCTCATTATGCACCGAGAGAAGGGGGTGGGGAGAGAGGGAGGGGAGGGTCCCTCATGCCTTTTGTAAAGCTTCATAATGCTGCAGTGTGTGGATGTACAGTTTCTTAGCCAGTCCCGTCTTGCACATTTGGGTGACTTCCAGTCTTGGTTGTGTTGCAGTGAAATACAGCTTTCCTATTTTTTCCTGTTATCTTTAGGCTAGATCTGTAGAAAGGGGATTATGGTATAAAGGGTATAAATGTACACAACATTTTGGCAGATGTAAATAAATTAGTCTCTTTGGGAGATTATAATGCATATCCTTGGGCTATTATACATCGCCTACTTTATAGTAATAATGTTATCATATCCCAAACAGTGTAAGCAGCAGTTTAACCTTTTCTCTTGCCATCCTTTATGTTGTTGTTTTGTTTTGCTTATACGTGTGTTAGAAAGACAGTGGGGCAGTTTTTGTTTTAAAACATCCATCTTCTTTTATTTTTGCCCACATATATGTACCATTTCCAGTACTCTTACTTCTTTCCTGCAGTTCCTTTCTCCTATCTGGATTGTTTCCCTTCGGCCTAAAGAACTTTTCTTAGGTATAAATGCTAGCAGTGATTTCTCTCTGCTTTTGTTTGAGAAATCTTTGTTTTGCCTTAATTTTCAAAAGATCATTTTCCCAGGTGTAAAAATCTCATGTTAGCCCTTTGTAATGTCTCTTCTGGTTTCCATAGTTTCTATTTAAAAATCTTACTATAACCTTTTCAAGGCAATTCTTTTCTCCCCTGGCTTCTTTTAAGATTTACTTTGTATTAAGTTTTAATAGTTTTAACTATATTAGGCCCATGTGACACTTTCTTTCATTTTCAATTTGCTTGAGTTTCACTGAACCTTTGAATCTGTGAGTTGATACCTTTCATCAGTTTTGGAAAATTGTTGCCCATTATCTCTTCATATATTTTTCCTCTTACCTCATTATCTATTCAAGTGTTCTCCTTGATTTTTTCTGGGAGTATCAGGATTGTACACGTTCAGACTTTGCACTTCGTATACTGGTCTATCTAGCTGTTTTTGTTTTTCCCAGAATTTTTTTTTTTCTTATGCCTGGTTTGAAAACTTTCTATTGACCACATTTAAAATTAACTATAATTCTTTTTTCTGTTTTCTTCTTCCATTTTTGGTTAAATTCATCAATGAATTTTAGCTTTCAGGTGTGTTTTCCAGTTCTAGGCAGTTATTTGATTTTTAGGAATAGATTCCAGTTCTCTTTGAAATTCATTACATTCTTAACCATTTTGTTCATCTTTGCTTACACTTGCAATTTGTTTTATTTATTTTGTATTGGAGTATAGCCATTTAACTATGTTGTGATAGTTTCAGGTGAACACCAAAGCAACTCAACCATTCATGTGTATATATATATATATATAGATATAGATATAGATATAGATATACACACACACATATATCCATCCTCTCCTAACTCCCCTCTTATCCAGGCTGCCACATGACATTAAGGGAGAGTTCCCTGCGCTGTATATGTATAGTAGTAGGACTTTTTTGGTTATCCATTTTAAATATAGCAGTGTGTACATGTTGATCCCGGGCTCTTTAACTATCATTTCCTCTATTACTTACATTTGCAATTTATTAATTATAGTTATGGAGCCTTTCCTGGTGGCTCAGACAGTAAAGAATCTTCCTGCAATGCGGGAGACCCAGGTTTGATCCCTGGGTTGGGAGGATCCCCTGGAGAAGTGAATGACAACCCACTCCAATATTCTTGCCTCTAGAATTCCATGGACAGAGGAGCCTGGGGTTGCAAAGGGTCGGACATTACTGAGTGTCTAACATAATCATAGTTACAGAATACCTAGCTTATAGTTTCTAGTGGTGTTAGCCTGCTTCTGTTGTCTTTTCCCCCCCTTTGATTGTTAGTCACATACTCCTCAGCCTCTTTATACATCTGGTAATTGATTATGTGAACTGAAGAGACCCCAAGTGGTGTTTTCTATTAGTGTTTCCTCTTCTTCAGTGTTAAACACGGTCAGAAGCTGATCACTTTGCTCCAGTCAGGGCTGTAGCTTATTTCATACATGGCTCTTTTCACCTCTGGCTTATCCCTGTTTGTCGTGAGCCTCCCAGGGGTTTTGGGGGGGGGGGTGGATTTTTTTGTTTTCCTAATTTCTTTTTTGAATTTTTCCATACCATGCACCTTGTGGGATCTTAGTTTCCCGACTAGGGATTGAACCCACACCCTCGGCATTGAAAGCTCAGAGTCTTATCCACTGAACCTCCAGGAAATTCTCTCTCCCAGGGTTTTTGCTGTTGAGAACCTTGCAGATCTCCATCCCCTTAGACTTTATATTCATTATGCAGTTGGAAAATGTTGCAGATGTCTTGAGGATAAGGGACACTGGCTGTGTGTGGTTGAGTCAGGCCTCCTCCCTCTGTGGGACTTTGTTCTCTGAGTACCCTGAGACTGTATGAGTTTGCATTGTCTTAGCAGAACCTCTGACTTGATCCATGGTCCTCTTCACGGCCTCAGAACTTGGCAGATGTCCAGTGGGGCCAGTTCACAGTTGAACACACAAGCCTCCTGTGACTCCCTGAAATGCTAGGACTTCTCTTTCCTCAGTATCAGCAGTTGGTAAACTCCTGCCCATGGGCCACATCAGCCTCCCGCTTGTTTTGATATACCCTATGAACTAAAAATGATTTCTAGATGGCTGAAAAAGTTTTAAAGAAGTAATATTTTGTTACATGAAAATTAAATGAAATTCAAATTTCAGTGTGTATAAATAAAATTTGGTTGGAACACAGCCATGCTTGGCTTATTGCCTGTGTCTGCTTTCATGCCACAATGCCAGGGTCGAGTAGTGGCAACACCAACCCTGTGGCTTATAAAGCCCAAAACATTTACTGTCTTGGCTCTTTGTAAGAAACGTTTGCCTTCTGACCCATAATCTTTGATAGTGGTTTTCAAAGTGTGGTTTATGAGTTCCTCGGTCATGCCTGAGATCCTTACATTGAATTCATAAGGTCAAGGCTGATGGTAATTAGTAAGGTTTTTCCTTTTCTCTTGTTTGAACTAAAAGTGTAAAAGCTGTGGTGGGTGTAAAACTGCTGGTACCTTAATAAGAATCAAGGCAGTGACACCAAATGACTGGCAGTCATGTTATTCTGCAATGTCAGGTAGGTACATGTCTTTTAAATAATCTTCGTGACAAAGTAGGGTCCTTTTTTTTTTTCTTACGCTTCATCTCAGATAACCTTGTATCATAGGTTGAGAGTGGAAGTGAAAGTGACTATACAGCTCTTTTATTAAGCTTGATATTTAAATGATTTGCAATAAGAGCAAAATAGTGCTACTTAACACTGCATTTTTATTGTTTTGGAAAAATACGGTCTTTTCCACAAAAAGTTCGTTTATATTAATATGTAATGAATTAATCAAGTATTTAAAATTTTTTCTCTTTTAGTTCCTGACACATTTTATAAATAACAATAGATATAAACCACATACACAAGAGTGCTTTTGGGACTGGGGAGGGATTCTTAATAATTTTGTATAAAATAATCCTTAGAACCAAAATTCACTGATCTGTTTGAGGTTATTTCTCTTCATATAGCAAAGGAAAATAATGGTGTTGACTCTTTGTTGTCACTTTCAGTTTGGGATAAGGTCTTTTTATGACCATCCCAAAAGACCAGTGGCATTATGACAATTTTTTTTTTTTAATGATTACTTCGATCATGCTGAAATGATCCATATGCTTAGAATTGCCAGCCTCAATGATTATAAGACATACCATTGCTTGTGTTAATTTTTCCTATTTTTGGTTGTGGTTTTTAGGGTATACTTTGAATGATTTCATTCTTTAAAAACAAATCCAGAAGCAGCTAAAGATTCTTTTGTTTTCATAGTTATTTTTCCTTCATTTTTTTTTCTCTCACATTATTTCAACACAAAAGTGATAAGCCTGCCCTAAGTGGAACTGATATTATTTAGTTTGAAAAATTTTAAAGATGCTGTCCTTTTGAACTTGAATTTCTTATAGTATATTTCTGGATGGACTCTTAATTTTGATGAAAGGAGTTAGTGATATTCTGCAGTTCGTTAACCACACCCTTAAATAATAGAGAAAACAGACTTTGTGAGGATTATTGTGCATCCCTTTGAAAGATGTTTGCCCTCCAGGAAGATTGTTCGTGTTTAATTGGGAAAAAAAATTGCTGTTCATGTGAACTCTGCATTCATTGACAGTTTCCAAATCATTTCTAAGCATTTCAGTCATAAGTGGATTTTTTCATTTCAGTAGTAAGTGGAAAAAATCCAGTACACAAGCAACAATTGGAAAAGGTCTTGAGAACCAAAGGGGTTGAATAACATCAGGTTTACATTTGTAAGTTTCAGTGGAATTAATGGTGGCTCCCAAGAAGGAGGGTGTCCAGGAAAATTTGAAACACATTTGTAGACTTTATTTTTTAGTTTATTGATAACTTTTTTATTGTGGTAGTTGAGTCTTAGCATTTTTCAAATGTTTTGAGGATGGAATTAAACCTTAAAAGTAGAAGTTCTCTAACACACTGTGATACCAGCATATGCACATGAAGTGAGAGGAGGTGAAAAGGCCCATCTTTTGATATTTTGGGAAATCATTCTTGGCAGTCCCTTTTGTTAGATGCATTATTGTTCTGTTTGTCTTTATTTCCATGCTTTCACTGTTACTTGGATTCCATTTATTCTGATGGAGGTGTTTAGAGGTATATAACATTTCTTTTGATGCCTGGGCATCATTGTTTATCAGGTTTTTTATTATGGCAGAAGACTTTTTGCTCACTAGATAATACATATTTTTAAAAGCAGATAGCTCATCTGATAAAGAATCTGCCTGTAATATAAGATATCCCGGTTCACTTCCTGGGTTAGGAAGATCCCCTGGAGAAGGGATAGGCTACCTCACTTTAGTATTCTTGGGCTTCCCTGGTGGCTCAGTTGATGAAGAATCTGCCTGCAATGTGGGAGACCTGGGTTCGATCCCTGGGTTGGAAAGATTCCCTGGAGGAGGGCATGGCAACCCACTCCAGGATTCTTGCCTGGAGAATCCCCATGGAGAGAAGGACCTGGCAGGCTGCAGTCCATGGGGCTGCAAAAAGTTGGACACAACTGAGCAGCTAAGCACACACATGCTGATGAGTCGATGTTAGTCTTGTGGACATTACTTTTCGTTGCATCTGTTAAAACCAGTCAACACCTCTCATTTAAAAAGATAAAAAGTAAAAGAGGAGAATATACATAACTGACATTGCTTTAAGGCCGAGTAAAATCCCTCTTTAGTTGGGTTCCAAAGAAGAAAAGTAGCCAGCTGACTGTGTAAAGTCACACTTAACACCTAGTAATAATTTTCTTAAAGGTTTAAAAGTATTGATTTTATTTCTGTGTGCAGGTTCTAAGGCCCAGCAGCTTCTGCAAGGACTACAAGCAAGTGACGAAAGCCAGCAGCTCCAGGCCGTTATTGAGATGTGTCAATTACTGGTCATGGGGAATGAGGAGACGCTGGGAGGGTTTCCTGTCAAGAGTGTGGTTCCAGCTTTGGTAAGAGCATTTCCCCCTCATTTTATCCCACTCATGCCCTAAATGCTGCTCTTACTTTCTAAAAGCATGATCATTGTCATTAGGAACTTTAGAATACAATAGGACTAAGAGATAGTTGAGTGTGGCTTATCCTTGTATTTCAGGCCTGTAGAGATTGTGCATGACTTAATGATGAATGACTAAAATTTCTAAACCATCTCTTGATGAATAGTTAACTTATCTTTGATACTTAAATGACCCATGCAGTTTTCAGTTTTAAGTGGTTATCCCCTTTAGGTGGTAACTTGACTTACTGTGCCAAAACTCACATGCTTTTTTTTCTTTTAAACTGGTGATTCATGGGACAGTGTTAACAGCTCACTTGTGGGTTGTCTTTGTAGGCAGTCAGTACTTCCTGCTTGATAGTTGTGTGCATGTTCATGCAGTCCAGCCAGAAGACCAAATGGATCCTCCAGCTTAAAAAGGGGGTTATGTTAAACAGAAACGAGAAACAAAACAACAGTACTCAGCAATAGAAAAATGAATTTTAAAAAATCTTAATGATTTTCAACACAGTTATGAGTTGATGTTTAGAATTTATTAACATCTTAATCCCTTAAGCTTTTTAATGTGAAAACAAAAAGAGAAATTGCCATTAGTAAGTGTGTATGCCCTTGAGCATGGTAAGTCTTTTAAGTAGTGACTTGGTAATTTTCACAATGCAAGTTTGAAGAAATTGGTTATAATTTAAGATTAAGATTAAGTCTGAATAAAATAATGACAAGATTAACATAGACATGAATATATTCATAGCATATATTACCTTGCCAGTTAAAATAAATATCATTTAAGTCTTTGTTTGCACAGCTAGTAAAGTTGACAAAAATGGAACCAGGATTGGAGTATCAGATTGTCTCATTTGATCACATTATCAGATTACAGAGAGAGCTGAGTAGAGACCTGTCAAATACAGGATGATACAGTCTTCATTCTGCTTGTTCTCACTTGTTGGCTGGCTCTACTCTAGCAGAAAGTAGTGAAGGATAGAGCAATGTCTCTTCCCGTGCAGACCTCCTGCTAACAGAAGCTGGCTCTCAAGCCTACCAGTGCCATCCCACAGGCTTGCATATTAATATTTTTTAACATTTCATGAAAGTGATATTATTCTTTGTACTCTGACATTTGCCTATACTTATATGCATACTCAAGTTATTGATTTCTTCAATAGCTGTCTTTTATGACCTTGCTTCCTTGTTTGTTTTTGTTCATTTAAAAGTAAACAGTAATAAAGAACTAGGTTACCATGTAGCAATACTGTCTTTTAAACTGCAGCTTTTAGTTAAATAAAGAAACTGTTAAATCTGGGCTGAAACATTAACACAATCTAGTTTTCTTAATTTGCTGGTTATTGATTAGATTTGAGTACTTAGTGGACCTGCGCTAGTCAGCTCATGCTATTAGTAGTGAGTTGTCCAGATTTGTCTTTCATAGCAGTTGAATATTACAAATATATATCCATCAATCACCATACACTGTATGACCATAAACAGTCATTTTTGGTGAAGAATCTTATTTCCAGCAGTTCTCAAATGTGATCTTCCCAGGTCATTCCCCCTTAAAGAATTGGATAACTTATTGTTTTATCTGTTAACATAACAATTCCTTTCCATTTAGAGTAGGTGTTTTTTGTGACTGATTTATAGGTGATTTGAGACAGAGAGTATGCTTGTGTGTGTGTGTGTTTATGTGGTATATTTAATAGAAATAGTTATCAAGACCTCTGGTATATAATTACCCAGCATAATTCAGAACTTAAAAGAATTCATATTAAATGAACATTGTTATAATATCTGGTGGCTGTTATTATAATCATATTTAATTGGTACTTTACAGCTTAAATTTGACACATTTAAACTTTTCCATTGAACTGCAATGATTGCTTCCCCAAGTAGGAAGTTTCTTTGGTAGCTTTTACTGCTTAAAGAAGATGGAGTATGTATCTGGTAGTTTTGCTTGCCCTCCTAAAAAACACAGTTGAAAACTGCTTAAGGTCTTTTCCACAAGAAAAACTAAAATCACATCAGATGTTTGGACTAATTCATGTGTTTGTGAAATAATTATATTGAGTTTTAATTTGTACCTAATTCGTTTTTCATGTGATCAATATTGTGTTCACATTCTGTACTGTGTATTTTATAGCCGAATTAAGTGGTGCTTAGTCCAACTTTTAGAGAAGCTGATTTATAAGAGTTTAAGCTTTGATATTGAATCTGTACTGATAGTTGTTAATTTAACAAATTCTGTGGGCTTCTGGTCCATTTATTTGTGTACAAAGTGCTTGCTGACAGAGAAGTCCTCAGTGATGTTTTCATGGGCTTCTGAAATGGTAAATAGTGGTACCGGAAGGGTTGGTTGTAAGCAATGTGAATGCTTTGTTTTTGACCCGAATCATGAGGTGATGATTATCCCGTGTCAGTGCTTTAGTGTGCGAATCATGCCATCTCAAGCATAAGCATTTCTTATGTATGCTTGCTAGGTTTTAACTTGAGGTTATTTTTTTATGGTAAATTTCGTGAGTCATACTGTTCTATTTCAGTTGAAATAGAAGAAATACTTCTAGGACTTTTAAGAATATAGCTTCTAATACTTTGTTAAATCTTTTAAACAGATAACATTGCTGCAGATGGAGCATAATTTTGATATTGTAAGTATGTGCTATGTTGAGAATCACTCCACACTTTTTTTATTTTTTATTTTTATTGAGTGACCATGGCTTCTTTTCTAGATGAACCATGCCTGTCGAGCCTTAACGTACATGATGGAAGCACTTCCTCGATCATCGGCTGTGGTAGTAGATGCAATTCCTGTCTTTTTAGAAAAGGTAATCCTACTTTTGCCCAATTGTTGCAAAGCAGGCATAGATAGGGGCATCAGTGAGACCTCCTGACTACTGAATTCTAAAGTTGTGTATCAGATTGTAAGGCCACATTAAAAGACACATTTTAGCATCCATTATCTAACTGAAGTATATTTTTTAGCCAAGATTCCAGAAAAATGTTTCATGTTTAGCAGAGCCGTGGTTTAAAGCTGATGCTAATAAAGCATTTGTTAAAACATCCCAGTGTTAAAATTTTTAATAATGGCAGTTATTGCACTAATGTAAAATCTTACAGAGAAGAACTTAAAGCACTTGATTAAAAATGATTTCATTGTTTCTAGAAAACATCCCAGTGAGGTTGATAGCTATTTATACCCTCATTTTACAGCTGAGGAGACTGAGCCAGACAAAATGCCTTGCTCAAGGTCATAAAGTGAGGCAGTGGAGAAAGGAAATTTTTTCATATGGTCTGTGGTAGGTTGTTTTTGGTCTGTTTTAAGGACCTTTTTCTTTTTAATGCACAATAAAATTTGCATTATCTGAAAACCTTGAAATATGCTAAAAACTGTAACACTTGATTTTTAAAATTTGTTCCATAAATCAACCCATTGATTTTAAATCTGAAGATTTAAAGTTATATAATTGAATTTAGTGTATCCTTTATGTAAAACATATTTTTCAACATCTTATAAAGTGGTTGGAAGGAAGCTATATTGCCAATATGTTATAGCTTACATGCATAAGACGCTAGTTTCCTGTGGTGGGTTTCAGGTTAGAGGCAGTATTTATTGTTCAGTTGCTAAGTCATGTCTGACTCTTTGCGACCCCATAAACTGTAGCCTTCCAGGCTCCTCTGTCCATGAGATTACCCAGGCAGGAATACTGGAGTGGATTGCCATTTCCTTCTCCAGGAATCTTCCCTACCTCGGGATCCTACCTGTCATCTCTTGCATTGGCAGGCAGATTCTTTACCACTGTGCCACCAGGGAAGCATAGAGGCAGTATAGATTAAAGATAAAATTAGAGAAGATATTTATTCACATAGAAGATGAGTAGCAAGTAGAGCACTTGAATGATAACCTTGTTCTTTATTTATATGTTCCCAGCTGCAAGTTATTCAGTGTATTGATGTGGCCGAGCAGGCCTTGACGGCCTTGGAGATGTTATCACGTAGACACAGTAAAGCCATTCTCCAGGCGGTAAGTGTTGTTACCAGAGGACTGTTTCCTTTAATATAGAATTTTAGACCCACATTTGTATTAGCTCCTAGATCGCAACCTCTGTAAGGTTCCCATGCTGTTTCCAAGGTGATGTGCTAGGCTTTTTTCTTTTTTTCATAATTGCTGATAGAAGAGTATTTCTTGCTTTTAACAGTTTTCCTATATTTTAGGGTGGTTTGGCAGACTGCTTGCTGTATCTAGAGTTCTTCAGCATAAATGCCCAAAGAAATGCACTAGCAATTGCAGCCAATTGCTGCCAGAGTATCACGCCAGATGAATTTCATTTTGTGGCGGATTCCCTCCCATTGCTTACCCAAAGGCTAACCCACCAGGTAAAATACAAACCTATCTTATGTGGCATAAAACATTTTTATTAAATTTTTTTTAAATGCCTATTTCACCTGGAGTCTTAAATCTTTCAACTGGGTATGTAAATTGGAAATGCTGTGATCTTTGTCTTTTCCTGTTAACTAGTCATGGACCATATTAGGTTATTTTATGAAATTTCAGTGAATTTACCCAAATGACAAGGTATCAAATACTATTTTGACTTTAGGGGTGAATTTATAATTTCAGCAGACACTTGAGTGTTTCCTATGTAATACAATGAGAATTTCCTTTTGTAAAGATCACCCTTTCCTGAAAGCTATAGGGTTAGGCAGACAGGACCAGAGAGGGTGTGGATTAAGATCAGAGAAGAGATGAGACTATGTATGTTCCACATAAAAATGAAATAAGCAGTGTAGATTGCAGCTGTCTGGGACTGGCAAAGAACAGGGGCAGCTGTAGAGGAGAAGGCATCAGTGGGTCTGCTGTGTGATATGATAAGTAGAGCTCATGGAGCCTCTGTTGCAGGACAGATGAGTTGAGTTTCAAGGTTGTAGAGAAATGGAATTTTCTTGTAATGTTTCAAAGTGTTGTTATTGCTAAAGAGATTTTAAGAGATCTGGCTTTTAAGATCTTGCAAAGAAAGCAATGGCACCCCACTCCAGTACTCTTGCCTGGAAAATCCCATGGATGGAGGAGCCTGGTAGACTGCAGTCCATGGGGTCGCTAAGAGTGGGACATGACTGCCCGACTTCGCTTTCACTTTTCACTTTCATGCATTGGAGAAGGAAATGACAACCTGCTCCAGTGTTCTTGGCTAGAGAATCCCAGGGACGGGGGAGCCTGGTGGGCTGCCATCTCTGGGGTTGCACAGAGTTGGCCATGACTGATGCGACTTAGCAGTAGCAGCATCAGGCTTTTAAGTCATCTATACAAAATACGCTTAAAAGCATCTCAGAGAAAATTAGATACATGAAACATACAGGCATACCTCAGAGATACTGTGGATTTGGTTCCGACCACTGCAGTAAAGGAAAAGATCACAATAAAGGGCGTCACAAGAATTTTTTGGTTTCCTGGTACAGGTGAAAGTTGTGTTTACACTGTAGTTTAGGCTGTTTAAAGTGAGCTTGTGTCTTTAAAAAAAAAAAGGTATGTACATACATTAATTAATAAATATTTCATTGTGTAAAAAACACAGTAACCACTACATTTGATTCTTCAGTGGGTAGCAGTCCTTTTGGTGGTGGTGCTGTTGCTGCTAAGTCGCATCAGTCATGTCCGACTCTGTGCGATCCTACAGACGGCAGTCCCTGGGATTCTTCAGGCAAGAACACTGGCGTGGGTTGCCATTTCCTTCTCCAATGCATGAAAGTGAAAATTGAAAGTGAAGTCGCTCAGTCATGTCCAACTCTTAGTGACCCCATGGACTGCAGCCTACCAGGCTCCTCCGTCCATGGGATTTTCCAGGCAAGAATACTGGAGTGGGGTGCCATTGCCTTCTCCTTTTTGGTGGTGGAGAGGGTTTAAAGTATTGTGAGAATTACCAAAATGTGATACAGGGACAGGAAGTGAGTATATGCTGTTGGACAAATGGTGTTGACAGACTTGCTTGGTGCAGGGTTTCTACAGACCTTCAATTTGTAAGAAATGCAGTATCTGCACATTGCACTAAAATAAAGTACAATAAAATGAGATATGCCTATATTAAATAAGGGGTTTACATGAGATAGGTAAAATTACATTGATTATTGAATTATTGGGGCATGTTGCTTCTAAGATGATTAAGACACAAATAGTGCCATCCATTTTTTATTTATTTTAAAAAACTTAGCAGGCAGAGATAGCTTTACAATGAGGGGCTAGAAATGTTTTCTAGTTAGCTGTGATCTCAGCACCTTATTTTGAAAGTCAGAAAAGTTAAATTGTGGGCATCCTTTCTAGACTTAAGTATTGATGGCGAAGGTATAATAGGGCTTTTATAATACCAGATAACTCTCATTTTACACAAGCAGGCCTAGTTTCTGCATCTGAAGTCAGTTTATCAATTAAAAAAGTTATCACCAACTCAATGGACATGAGTTTGAATAAACTCCAGGAGTCAGTGATGGACAGGGAGGCCTGGCACACTGCAGTCCATGGGGTTGCAAAGAGTTGGACATGACTGAGCAACTGAACTAAACTGAACTGAATGGATCCAAATACTCACACCATTAAATTGTTTTTTCTGTTATTCCAGAGGGGATATTCCAAATGTTTTCTCAATGAGACCACTCATATAGTATTTTTAGATTGTTTTTACAGTGAATATAGCAAGTCTACACCAAGTTTTTCTTAATCAGTAAACCTCTGGCTCACACATACTTCACTGTTTACAACTTTTTGGTGTATGCATGTTTTAAATGTTTCTACTTGTAAGGCTGTTTAAAATGATAGGATGTTTATTATAATTTTTGTTTAGGTATTGAAATTGTAGAAGCACAGAAGTTGTTCCTTTTTGATATAACTTGCTTTTTATTTGTTGAGGTCTTATAGGAGGTACAGATTTTATCAGTATGATTTCCCTTTGCATTGAAATCATGACTTTACTGATTGCTTGCTTAGGTTCGCAGCATTATCAAAGCTCACATCTTTGAAGAATTTGGGGTTAGGAAGAAGATAAGGCAGTGATAAAGGACAGTGAAAATGTTTTATATTAACAAACTTTATTTTCCTTTATTTAAAAAAAAAACAAACAGGACAAAAAGTCAGTAGAAAGCACTTGCCTTTGTTTTGCACGTCTAGTGGACAACTTTCAGCATGAGGAGGTAAGCATTTAGTCTGTTGATATTCTCATGAAGTTGTTAAACTGCTAACTCAGGATATAACAGTTTGGTTTTTGTGTGTGTGTGTGTTTCTACAGAATTTACTCCAGCAGGTTGCTTCCAAAGATCTGCTAACAAATGTTCAACAACTATTGGTAGTAACTCCACCAATTTTAAGTTCTGGGATGTTTATAATGGTGGTTCGCATGTTTTCTCTGATGTGTTCCAATTGTCCAACTTTAGCAGTTCAACTTATGAAGCAAAGTAAGTGCTATTTTATTATTCTGTTTTAAACAAGAAAAATTGTATGTGTGTTTAACCTCTGTTGATAAGTAGAGTCAACATAAGCAAGTAGAAATCACTAATATGTAGGCACTGGATAATAAAGGAAGAAAAATGTACTGTATAACAAATCCGGGTGTGACAATATAGTAATGCTTTCTACATAGTTTTTATTTTTATTTTTTTACATACAGTTTTTAAAGTATATAGTGTATTAAAACTTTACTGTTGGAGGGCTAAGGTCACTGCTTTCTATACAATATCAGTTAAGTAATGATGCTTCCTTGAGGTCACAAGAGTCAGACAAGACTTAGTGACTTAATAGCAATGATGCTTAATTAGGAGAATTCTGAGTTTAAGTTACCAATAACTGCTTCTCTTCTGCTTTTAGGTAGTCTTTTTGCCCACATTAGATTTTTCCAGCATTTTATGATTCCAGAATGCCTTCTCCCTCAAAATGTCGGAACTTACTTACACAGATGAATGGCTTTGATTTTTGCTGCTTTAACATTTCTAAGCCCTTCTCAACCTTCAGTTCAGTTCAGTCGCTCAGTCATGTCTGACTCTTTGCGAACCCATGAATCGCAGCATGCCAGGCCTCCCTGTCCATCACAAACTCCCGGAGTTTACTCAGACTCATGCCCATCGAGTTGGTGATGCCATCCAGCCATCTCATCCTCTGTCGTCCCCTTTTTCTCCTGCCCCCAATCCCTCCCAGCATCTGGGTCTTTTCCAATGAGTCAGCTCTTCGCGTGAGGTGGCCAGAGTATTGGAGTTTCAGCTTCAGCATCAGTTCTTCCAATGAACACCCAGGACTGATTTCCTTTAGGATGGACTGGGTGGATCTCCTTGCAGTCCAAGGGACTCTCAAGAGTCTTCTCCAAGACCACAGTTCAAAAGCATCAATTTTTCGGCGCTCAGCTTTCTTCACAGTCCAACTCTCACATCCATACATGACCACTGAAAAAACCATAGCCTTGACCAGACGGACCTTTGTTGGCAAAGTGATGTCTCTGCTTTTTAATGTGCTGTCTAGGTTGATCTTTAACTTTCTCAACCTTAACCATGTGCAAAATATTAACATTTTATCACCGCTGCTATTACAGTTTTTAGTGAACTTCCCAGGTGGCTCAGTGGTAAAGAATCTGCTTGCCAGTGGTAGAGATATGGTTCTACCCCTGGGTCAGGAAGATCCCCTGGAGTAGGAAATAGTAACCCAGTCCAGTATTCTTGCCTATGAAATCCCATGGACAGAGGAACCTGGTGGGCTATACAGTCCATGTTGTTGCAAAGAATCAGACATAACTGAGTGAGTGCGCACATGTGTACACACACACACACTGCTACTGCAGTTGCCCATTACTGTCTTGTCTTTAGATTTCACAAGTTAATGTCAGAAGACTGGGGGGTTCAGAAAACATCTGTATATTGTGATTATTGCTAGTAGAGCATTGATGACTTCTGTATGAAACTCTCATAATTGTGGGTAATTGAATATCCATAATTTTGCTTTCTGAGAATTTTATCTTGGGAATCAGTGATGACATTCACTGACAAAGCAGTCTTTGTCCCTCTGCCTCAGGTAGATTATTAGTGGTATAATAGTACTTTTCTTGTTGGGGAGGGAGGATGGGAAAGTCAGGTTTAAATTTAGTCACATTAGTTGTGAACTTTAGCACATGGCACAGTTCTTTGTAGAAAAACAGTGCTGCTGAGGTGATGTATTGAAGAGATAAAGCACTTTGTCATTCCTAAACTTGGTATTCCAGAGAACACTGTTTTGCTTATGCCATGAGCAAAGTCCTCTTTGCCCAGATAAGTTTGGGAAAAATTTAACTTTTTTTTTTTTGAGCAGTCATAATGTAATTTCCTTATTAAATTCCTAGAAGTCCCTTGAATTTTGATTTCCCAAAGTTTGCACACAGGTTATCTCTTGTTACCATATGGCACAACATTTTTCCTATATCCTGGTTTGAGAAATTGCTATCTAAGTTTTGTTTTTAATGTTCTGGAATTTTCCCCTTTAATATGATGAATATTGTTAACCTCTTTTGCCTATTTTAGGAAGTTTGCCACATATCATATAGAAGCCACTAGACCTATTATCTTTCTCCCTCGGTAACACAAAGGAAACATGAACCTATCTTGTTCTTTGTTTTTTTTTTTGTCAGTCTCTGATCTCTCTCTCTTTTTTTTAAGTTAGTATTATACCATTGCCATATATTCCTGTTTCTTAAGAAAGTTGGCAAAATGAATTTTTCAGAACTTTAAAAAGATTTAATCACTACTTGTGAAATTTCTATGAGGCAGAGATTTAACTATTCGTAGCCCCTGTGCTCAAATTGGGGCTTCCCTGGTGGCTCAGAAGGTAAAGCATCTGACTGCAATGTGGGAGACCCAGGTTCAGCCTCTGGGTCAGGAAGATGACCTGGAGAAAGAAATGGCAACCCAGTCCAGTACTCTTGCCTGGAAAATCCCATGGGCCTAGTAGGCTACAGTCCATGGGGTCACAAAAGAGTCAGACATGACTGAGCAACTTCACTTTTTTTCTTTCTTTCTGCCCAAATTAATGATGAATACTTTCCTTGACAGTAGAACATACTGATTACTGGCAGGACATTTCAGTGAAATATTTATACATGTTTTGTATATTCATATAGAACCATATGCCACAACCAACAGAGACAGCCTTGCCTTGTCTTTAGGTCCTGGTTATCAAAACCTTGGCAGCTGGGAACTTCTTCCACTCACTGTGTCAATGCATTAGACAAGTTTTCACCCCAGTTCTTCCATAAACTGAGATCTTCTGGGAGTGGAATTTTGTGGTAGAGGATATTTTCTTGATTCTTAAAGGTAGTTGGCCTGCTTACTGTCATTTAAGTAAAGGTTTTTCTGATGACAAAATGGCAGGATTCAGATGCTTTTAATCGCTATGTATTCTATTGGTCACACACAATTTCAGTATATTATATTTGAATTGAAGAAAATGCACAGATATATGTGAATCAAGGATAAAATATGCTTAGTGCACTTGTTCTGCAAACTCTGTGCTCCTTAAGGAAAGTAATTCAAGATTCCTAAAGTCTCTGCAGTGAACTTGTGACTTAAATCCTCAGAAAGAAATTGTTTAAATCTTCGTAGTTTTTTTAAGGTTTTAATTACAAGTTATTTTCACCTTATCTTGAGTGGTATGGCCGAATAGGAAAATACTTTTGTTTTTCCCCTCTGGAATGATTGCCTTTTAAATACGACAATACAAGTAGTTTCATAGGCTTTGGCTTTTCATTGTTGGCTTTACAGACATTGCAGAAACGCTTCACTTTCTCCTGTGTGGTGCCTCCAATGGAAGTTGTCAGGAGCAGATTGATCTTGTTCCACGAAGTCCTCAAGAACTGTATGAGCTGACGTCTCTGATTTGGTAAAGATTGGGCCAATAGTTAATAATGACTGGAGGGCATTTTGCTTTAGAGACCTGGTGTTTACTGACAGCTTAGAAAGCTACTTATTAAAATAATTACACCTTTTGTTTTCAGTGAACTTATGCCATGTTTACCAAAGGAAGGCATTTTTGCAGTTGATACCATGCTGAAGAAGGGCAATGCACAGAACACGGATGGGGCCATATGGCAGTGGCGGGACGACCGGGGCCTCTGGCACCCCTATAACAGGATAGATAGCCGGATCATTGAGGTAGTAGTTTCCTCGTACCGTTTAAATATGTCTTCTTTTGATGGAGCTTGGGTGTAGGGCTGGAGTCGGGAGGGGGCATGTGGAAGTAAATGTGCTCAGCGTGGAATTAACTCACGATTCTCTCATTTTGTCTCCTGAGAACAAGGTCCTCATTTCTGTTCAGGTCAGAAAACATGGTGTTCTAGTCCTGCTTCTTCTACTCACTACCTGATTGACTTGGAGCAAGTAATTTAAGTTCTTTGTTCCATGGTTTCCTCGTTTCTGAAAGGAAACGCGGGAGGAGTTAGGCTACATGTCTCTAAAAGTTCCTTCAGTCTCCTATCCAGAAGAAATCTCTCAAAAGCAAAGATTACATACAAGTAGCTGCTTTTCAGTATTTTTTAAAAGAGCAAAAATATGGAAAGAATTTAAATATCTAGCTGTAGGTGAATAAGTAAATTGTGGTATATACCTAAGCTTATATGTAATACAGACCTTACTGGGATAAATTTTAATTACTTACAATGTGATATGCTATAAATGAAAACAAAATTATGTGACTCATGGAAACTCAGCGAAAGAAAAGAATAATAGCAAAGGAGAGAAATATACCACAATATTTACAGTGATTTTTCTGTGAAGGTTTTATGTGTGATTTTATTCTTATTTCCATACTTCCATATTAAATTTGCATTGAAATATTTCAGAAATTTCTCAAATCAGGAAAATATTTTGCCCTTGTTTAGGAAGCGTTGGTCACTGCTTTATTTGAGATGCCATGCATCATTTACTAATGTTTTCATATATAAGATACTTAAGTATTAATATATTTTCTAATTTCAGCCTGTGTAATTAGAATGTTTTAGGACATTCCACATAGACTTTTTTTCTTCAAGTTATCTTCCACTAGTTTCTAAAAATGAATGTTTGAAAAACTTTGGAACCACTGATTTATCTTATAAAATCAGATTCTTATGACAATATCTAAACTCAGGACCAGCTGTTCTGAGAAAGTCAGAGATGACTAGTCTTCTGTAATTATTAGCCTTACTTTATAAGCTGGTTGTGATCTCTAATGCTAAGCATTCTTCTTTTTAGCATTTTCCCAGTAATTGGATCTTCCCTGTTAGTTTACTCTCTTGTATTTTCTGAGAGTCCTGACTTCCATTCAACCAAGGAATTCCATAAAAATGTGTATTTTGTCACTTCTTTAGGCTGTCTAAAATCTACCAGTGTTAACTACATTGTCTCATTTGAGATACATACTGTGTAATGCTTGCCACCCCTTGGGATTACTTTTTCTACTTCCAGTTGTGTCCCTTTCAATCTTAGGGCATCATTTAAATGTAAAAGTCTTTTTTTGATGACCTAAGGATAATTTTGTAGAATCATTTTGTTTAAAGGAGGATCTTGATGGGCTGCTAGGAATCCATGATGTAAATATTATTTTAACTTAAGAATAAGGTACCAAAAATTAAGGATAACTGATTTTTTTCAGTCAGCAATGTCTTCAAGCCCTTTTTAACACAAATAGTATCTTCTCCATGTCAGCGATCCTACGTGACTGGATTTTACCTGTATTTGTCTCAGGGGACCTAATGGGTCTGGGGGTGTATATATGTATTTAATTAAAAATGGTTTGTTGATTAAGTTTTGTCATATCCACACTATTAAAACTTCCACATTCTGTTACTTACTGTCTGAAACCTGATGAAACAAATATGTAAGTTAGCATTTATGGAGGTCCCCACCGTGTCTTGAGTTAATAAATTTCTCCATGTTTATATTCAAGGTTTCTCTCTCTTTGCTCTCAGGCAGCCCATCAGGTCGGTGAGGATGAGATAAGCTTGTCCACTCTGGGACGAGTTTATACTATTGATTTTAATTCTATGCAGCAAATCAATGAGGACACGGGAACAGCACGTGCCATTCAGAGAAAACCTAACCCCTTAGCCAATACTAACACTAGTAAGTACCTTTTGAGTCAAAAGTAGTACCATGTTGTCTAGTGAGTAGTGTTTGCAGTAACATATAATTGTTTTATTGAGTGTTTTTATTAAATTGAGGTAGTTGCATGGTAGTAAATAGGTTTTTTTTTTTTTTTTTTTTTATCATGTGGTTTAATCGATAAATGAGCCAACATGGCTTGACTGGTATCTTCCCCCAAGATTTTCCTACTTGTGTGATTTGCAGTGTCCTGGACTCTAGTCAAAACTGTCCTGTGCTTTTTTCCCCACTTTTGGTTTTATTGAGATATAATTGACACAGCAATGTGTGAGTTTAAGATGTACAGCATAATGGTTTGACTCACATACATCCTGAAATGGTTACCACGTTAGTTGGTTAGAGTGAACATCCATCTTCTCATATAGATACAAATTAAAGAGAGAAAAAGATAATTTGGGTGGTAAGAAACTCTTAGCTTTCTCAGAAAAATCAGCAGTGTTTAGTATTTATTTATCTTGTAACCTTCTGACTGCCTTCATCCAGCCTCCCACCCCCACCCCCAGTAATACTATGTTGAGTTTGGTATAATGGACTTAAAACACTGTTAGTTCCTGTTATACAACGTAGTGAATTCAGTACTTCATACATTTCAAAATAACCACCACTATCAGTCTACTTATGATGTCACCAAAGGTATTACATGGTTATTGACTGTATTGCCCATGTTGTACATTTTATACTTGTGACTCATTTATTCTTCAACTGGAAGTTTGTATCCCTAATCTTCCTCACTTGTTTCTTTTTTCACTCCAACCCATCTCTCCCCACCCCCCCGCCCGCCCCCAACTTAGCAACCACTAGTTAGTTCTCTTCAGCCCAGGCAGTTTTTAAAATCTGATCTTTTTATTTCTATTCTACATTTAGAGCCAGTCACACCCCATCAGATCAGTTCTTTCTAGTTTTTTGTTTTGTACTTTCGCATCAAAATTCTCTTAATTCATGAGAATTTTTTTACCCTCAGGTTTCTGTCGTTTATTCCTTTCTGCAGGGCTTTAGTTCTAGCCCAGAGTATAAGAGTCAGCATACTTTTAAGCTTTGCAGGCCACGCGGTTTGTATTCAGCGCTGCTCTTGTAGCCCCTACACAGCCATGCACAGTACGTAAACAAATGTACATGGTTGTGTTTCAGTAAAATTATTTACAAAAATAAGTGGTGAGGTGGGTTAGGCCTTCGAATCATACGCCAGCCCTGTTCTAGAGCTTTTCATCTGTTACCTTTTTCCTACACCTCACTCCCTTTAAGCCCAGTGACAAGCCATCTTTTTCTAGTTTCTTGCTGCATGTATACTGTGCTTAGCCACTCAGTCGTGTCCGACTCTTTGCGATCCCATGGACTGTAGCCCGCCAGGCTCTTCTGTCCATGGGGATTCTCCAGGCAAGAATATTGGAGTGGGTTGCCATGCCCCCCTCCAGGGATCGAACCCAGGTCTCCCACATTGCAGGTGGATTTTTTTACTGCCTGAACCACCAGGGAAGCCCAAAAATACTGGAGTGGGTAGCCTGTCCCTTCTGCAGGGAATCTTCCCAACAGAGGAATTAAACCTGGGTCTCCTGCATTGCAGGTGGATTCTTTACCAGCTGCGCTACTCCTGCATACTCAGTGTTCATTTCTTCAACTCCATTTATTTCTTACCAGTAGTTTTAACTGGATAGTACTCAAATGTCCCCAGTATTTTGTGGAACAGGTATTAGTACAAATAAGAGGTACAATGTAGTGCTGCCTTGTGTTTTGCAGCTAGCTGTAATAGAATTTTATGTTAGTTCACTTTATTGTGTTTCTGAAGCCTTTTAAGATTTTACATTTTTTATTCCAGGTGGATATTCAGAGTTAAAGAAGGATGATGCTCGAGCACAGCTTATGAAAGAGGATCCGGAACTGGCTAAGTCTTTTATTAAGACGTTATTTGGTGTTCTTTATGAAGTGTATAGTTCCTCAGCAGGACCTGCGGTCAGACATAAGTGCCTTAGAGCAATTCTTAGGATAATTTATTTCGCGGATGCCGAACTTCTAAAGGATGTCCTGAAAAACCATGCTGTTTCAAGGTGTGTTCATGAAAGTGGTAACAATTTTACCACTTTAGAAACATTTTAGAAACCCAAGTCTCTGCAGTTAACTTCAGAAAATTTTAAAGCCATATTATAGTATTAAATATGCACAAAACAGTTAATTTGGAGTATCTTGAGCCCTTCGTTGTCTTTCTGTATTCACAGACACCCTCAATAAAAAATAGATTAAATGTAAAAGTTGAGCATTTAATAAAAATTCTTATTTTAGTGGACAGGTTTCAAAACTAAAATATTTTGCTCTCAAATTTAAAGTTGTATGGCCAGCAATAATTATCAAATTCAGGCAGATGTTTTATATACAAATGCTTTCTTTTTTTAGTCATATTGCTTCCATGCTATCAAGCCAAGACCTGAAGATAGTAGTTGGAGCCCTTCAAATGGCAGAGATCTTAATGCAGAAGTTACCTGATATTTTTAGTGTTTACTTCAGAAGAGAAGGTAATTCTGTTCATGATAATTGATGGTTAATCTTTTAGTCTGAATATTATTTTAGTAGAATTATAGTTATAATCTGTGGAACATAAATTGTTACTTTTATATAATTTACATGCTTCCAGCTTAAGTATGTATCATGCATCTTTTTTAAACCTTTTACTACAAATTGTATGAGATTCACTTGTTAACTGATGAACACTTACTAAGTTTCAGTGATTTGAGTTATTATGGCCTAGAGGCAATTGCTGACTTTTCTTTTTATGCTGGTAGCATACAGTTGCCCTAAAGATTCTTTGAAAAAGTCAGAGGTCACTTTCTCTCCCATGGAATCCTGTTAATGTATAAGGGATTATTTTTTACTTCATTGTGTAGATAATGAAATATTTTAAGACTTGTAATAATCTTCAGAGTGCAATTTGTCTAGTCCTCTAATTTGAGGAATTTCAGTTTTGAAATCAGCCTTGGGGACATGGTATTTTAGCATTCTCTTCTTGAAAACCTGAAAGATGAAACTGTGTCACTCATTCAGGGTGTTTATCCTTTTTTAAACCTGCAAAGATAATAAAAGAAGTTTTTTCTCATCAACAGAAATCTCATTATGGGTCTTTTGGTCTATCAGGTTGCTTAGGTCTTGTGAGGATACAGAAAATGGTGTTCTCCTGGCATGTAATACTTTGTTTTCAGTCCCAGTTCTTTATGCTCATCATCACCGTTTCTTATGCGTGATTCATTTCTCTTTACATCTTGAGAATGTGATAGACACACTAGTGTAAGAATGTTGAGTCAAATGGGAAGGAGTTCTCACTGCTTATTATTAGCTCTGTTCAGATAATAGTGGGTTTTCAAAAAACCCAACACTGCATGTTTATATGAAATAAAAGGCAAACTCTCTCATATCCCAGAGGTAAAAACTATGATTAACAAGCCAGATTTATGAACCTTTTCTGTGCTTACATGAACACTTGGTGTATACTCTTATTTTTAGCCTTAGGTTATCTTGCATTTTAATTTTGTTTTACGTATTTTATGTTTGTTGTCATTTGCTTTTAGTTACTTTGTGATTTGAGAATCAGTATATGAGTATATATATGAGAATATGAGAATCAGTCTTTTTTCTCAGTGATTTTTTAAAAAACTTTTGATCCTATCAATCAACTATGCCATCAGATTGAATTTCCCACCCCCAAGTATTTGTATAGCATATACATAGTGAGGTATATGGAAATGTCTAGATTGGTTCTCCCCCTTTGTATGTGGCTTTTCTCTCTGTTCTTTGAGGTTCCACTTAAAGATCACTTATTCCTAAATATCTACCTTGCCGTATGAATTGTTAGATCTCCCTTATGGTATGCTCCAACAGCACTGTATTTTATTTCTCATAAGCAGTTCACTCTGTATTTTTAATTTCTTGTTAAATATGTCTTTCTCATTAGTTAGTAAGTGCCCTGAATACATTTTTATTAGCCATGGCCATATTCTTAGTGCCTCACTTACAGTCTGGGCATATGACGGTTGCAAATAGTACTTGTGGAACGAATGCCTGAAGTTTGAATTCATTCAAAAATCCTTTTTTTTCAAATAATAAATAATCTGATGGAAAGTTGTGGACTCTTCCCCAGAAAAATGTGAATGTTGTGCACATGTGAACACACACCTTTGTATCTGCGCCCCCCCCCCCCCCCAATGTGCTTCCTCCCACAGTTGAACCCCAAATACAAATCTCTGCCTTAATGGGTTATTGTTCCATCTCCTCATACACCTGCAGGGATGTGAAAAATCTCCATCCTTCAATAGCTGGTGTTCTCTTTATTGGCAGTAGTGTTATTGTGATCTTGTCTCCTTGTAGCATATGAAGTTAATAATTGTAGGTCCTTTTCTCACCTTTTGGCTATCCAGCCACAGGTGCACTGAATTTTTGTAATTGTTTTTGATTCTTATAGTGGGTACATTAAATTTCTGGTAGGACTTTATATGTGACCCCATTTAACATTTTGAGTGTATTGGAAGTGTGTGTTCAATCACCAAGTCGTGTTTGACTCTTTGTGACCCCATGAACTGGAACATACCAGGCTTCTGTTTCCTTCACTGTCTCCCAGAGTTTGCTCAGATTGAGGTTCATTGAGTTGGTGATGTTATCTAACCATCTCATCCTCAATATAAGTATCTTTATTTAAATTTGAATTTACTTCCTTCTATTTTTTGGAGTCAGGTTGAAGACTCTGGCACCTCAATGATTTTCCTGTTTTTGCGTACTTTTTATTCATTCCTTGTGAATCAGCATTAGCGTTTAGGGTTCTTGTGGTGGGAGATGGTCCTGAGTAACACACACTCTGACCTTGTTCTGTGAAGGGGTGATGCATCAGGTCAAGCACCTAGCAGAGTCCGAGTCGTTATTGACGAGCCCACCGAAGGCCTGTGCAAATGGGTCCGGGTCCTTGGGGTCCACGCCATCAGTCAACAGTGGGACAGCCACGGCCGCCACCAACGCCTCGGCTGACCTGGGGTCCCCCAGCTTGCAGCACAGCAGAGACGATTCTCTAGACCTGAGCCCTCAAGGGTAAGTCAGAATTCTGCAGTGACTCTTGTGCTCTTTGCTTGAGACTCTGCCCTGGTCTCCACGATACATGCGGGGAAGTGAAGGGTATAGGGCACTACGGAGAGTGTACATTTTCCATTTTTCCATGTATGTTTTGTTAGGTGTATAGTGAGAATGGCAAGAAAATTGAACACTTACTGAAAACCTGCTGTATTGAGCCATGTTTAGAAACCACAGTAGAGACATAGTATTTACATTGACCTACAAGGGCACTAAGGCTCAGAGAAGCTAAGTGACTGGCATAATGTATTGAACTTACTATAATGATGAAGGATTTGAGCCTCATTTCTGATACCATAATCTTAATGAATATTTACTATATTGTGTTGCAGCATACATTACCAGCTTTGAGACATCTAGATACTTATATAGTGAAAAATATTAAAAATCGGAATTTTTAGAATATAAGCCTGATTTCCTATCTGTCTTTTACTGGCATATCGGAACTTTTGCTCTTAATAAAGGCTAATGAGAATTCTAAGAAAATTCTCTGCTTGCACCTCTTTTTTTGTTTTAATTCCTTTGTTGTACTATGCTGCTGAAAACATTACTGACCCTCGTGGTGGTTACCATTTTGTACTGAAACAGATTACACTCTAAAAGTGTGTTTGTTCCTTTGATGGAAGTTGAAAAGTCAATCTTGGTAAAGCATATACTTAATAAGTGGGGTCCAAAAGTTCAATCTTAGAAACTGCGAAGCTCAGAATCCGAGCTGTTCTTGGTGCCCCCTGGTGGCAGTTGTCCACCCTGATGTATATGTGAGTTTTGAGAGTTCTGGGACTCCTGGCACAGTGTTAACTTAGGAAGCTGCTGGGTTAAAGTGGTACCATGTAATGGGCACAGTCCAGGGTTTTGGGACCTAGAGGATACCAGGGACCCTCCACCACTCCCTGTTGTCTAGTTGAATTGTCTTGCCATTGTCTCTCCCAGCCTTGCCCACATCTCTGTTTCCTTCCCAGCCCAATTCCCTCCCCCAGCTGCTGTGGCAACCTGAGGTCATTGCAGGGTTTTCCTCTCTAGCACAGGAATGGTGCCTGCGCTGTCGCACAAGTGCTTAGTAAAATATGATTCAGCTCACAGAGATGAAGTGCTCCTGAGCTACTTTAAGGAACTAGACTTGGTTATAGGTTCTGACAGTCAGTGCTTCTAAGGAAAGAGAAATACTTTCAGAGAGAGACTTTCAGAGCTCTCAGTGATTCATTTCTCTTCTAATATGGTTTTAAATGAGAAGTTCATAAAAATTTGTAAATGGAATTAAGTTTATTCTTTGAAAGTTCACTTGTCCTGATTGTCAAGTATATTGATCATGCTACTTAAGTGTTTTCAGTAGACATGTCAGATGTTGGAAGACTTTAAATTTTTTTTTTCAAAATTTTTCTCACTTGGATTATAATTTAACTGAACCATAACTTGCTTCCATCTTTTCCATCTTACGTAGTTTTGTTATTCTATGTATGATATTATAAACTATTTCTAAAGTTGTTAAATATAGTGAAAATAGTACACAAGGCCCTATATGTTGTATTTCATATATTCTAATTCAAATAGATTATTTACACTATCACTCTGCTGCATTTGTTTACAGATAACTCTGAATTCTTTATAAAATTATTTATAAATGCATTCATTTTGGATATTATTATCATTGCACACCATGAAATTACTTTGGGTAATATTGGAAAGTATTTTGATAATGTTAACCTTAGTGTGCTGTGATTATTATTTTACTTACTGTCATTTAGATTAGAGAAGAAAAAAGGTATTCAGATTTAACATTCTTTTTCTGATTTATGATTGCATGGTTCTTTCTTTGCATTGTTTATTTGTTTTAATATACTTTATTTATGTGCTACATTTAACAGTGGAGTTTAACAAGGATTAATGAGATATTGTGTCTATTTGGTTTTCTTTTAGTAATTCAGTATAGTCAAGGTATTTATATAGCTAGGTATTTTCTGAAGTGATAAATTTCTGTGTCTGTACACTTGTAGAACACTGGTGCAGAGTTGGTATTAAATAATCACTAAGTGGAAAATACTGTCACGACAGTATTTTATAATACATTGTTTCTGCCATTTTTGGCTTGCTTTTAAGTGAGTGATGATATTAGATCATGATAATTGCTAAACTTATCCCATGTTTTCCCATGTGATAGTCGATTAAGTGATGTTCTAAAGAGAAAACGACTGCCAAAACGAGGATCAAGAAGGCCAAAGTATTCACCTCCAAGAGATGATGACAAAGTAGACAATCAAGGTAATTTGTGATGAAACCATGGGGAGCTGAAGGGAAAGGAACTAGCAGCTAAAGACACATACTTTATTTTTGCTGACAGCCTTGAATCATGCCTGACTTTGCTAAATTCCCAGTGTTCTTAGTCCTTGTAGCTAATTAATCTGTTGAGTGGAAGTCTTAAAATTCTGTTGGTTTTCATCATTTACACTAAAATGATTTAATTATTGTTCTCTCCATAGCTAAAAGCCCCACCACTACTCAGTCACCTAAGTCTTCTTTCCTGGCAAGCTTGAATCCAAAAACGTGGGGAAGGTTAAGCGCACAGTCTAATAGCAACAACATTGAGCCAGCACGAACCGCAGGAGTTAGTGGTCTTGCCAGGGCCGCCTCAAAGGACACCATCTCCAATAATAGGTGAGGTGGGGGGATTCTGTGTTACTTCTGTTCCTAGATTAGGAAAAGATTCACATTATTCTTGTCAGTGTACCTATTACATAGAGATTGGAACGCGGACACAGGCCTTTAATTTTTGCTCAGAGGTCACATAACTCCAGGATGGAGCAGATTCTCAGTTCTTGAGCCCCATATCTGACTTTTTCTCATATTTTAAAATTTCAGCATGTCTAGTTGGGAGTCGTGTATGTTCAAAACCAAGCAAATAGGTTTCCCTTTGAACTTGTTCCTTAGTTTTGTTATGGAAAAGGGAAAACCGACATATTTTCCGAGCACACACATGCTCTTTTATGATAGCCCTCTTCTGCACTTCACAGTGGAACAGAAGGATCTTAGAGCAGAGCCCTTTTTTGGAAATGTAAAACTGTCGGTTAAACCATTTCACACCAACTTATGGCTTAAAAAAAATTATTCCTTTAAAATCCTCAAGGATTGTTTTGTTTGACTCTGGGTGTAACATACCAACAGGGATTACTTCCTCTGCAAATAAGACATTTTTATAAAGCAAATTCCATTGGGAAAACAAGCTCGTTTTGTTTGGTTGATTGCCTTGATTGGTGGGTGGTTCTGAATTTCAGATAGTAGAAATAAGCAAATATATTTCTGAAGTTACTAGAGTTTGTTATTTGAACAGTGAGGTCTCAGTTGTCATAGCTTATTATGCACCTAATAGGTACATGTTTCTAGTCTATAGGAACATAAGGGACAGTGCAGATATGTCTGTACCTTAGAAAACAGCCTTAGAAAATTGCTTTCAGGTTAACACGTAGGAAACTGTTAGATTGTAGAGTCAATAGATGTTAGAACTGTTTTTTTTTTTTTTTGATCTTCATGTAGTGACATGAAATGTATTTTAAGTATTAACTGTGCATTTCTCTAGGTATATCTTTTAGCCCATTTTCAAACTGAAACTTAAGTGGTTTAATGTGGAATCTGGATTTACTAGTCTATAAACATAGGCCAAAAAAGGATTTTCAGTGTAGCAGCTATCTGCCTTTGACCAGAAGTTATAATTGAAAAGTTTTCTATGTACACTGAGTCTTTAACATCTTTTTCCTTCTTGCAGAGAAAAAATTAAAGGTTGGATTAAAGAGCAGGCACATAAATTTGTAGAGCGTTACTTCAGTTCTGAGAACATGGATGGAAGCAACCCCGCATTGAATGTCCTTCAGAGACTTTGTGCTGCGACTGAACAACTCAACCTCCAGGTACGGCGGCCAGTGCCCCTGGCTGCTTCTCTGGGCTCTTCCGTCCAGCTTCTCCTTGCCTTGGTGACTCTATAGATTTCGGTGGATTTATTTGTCTTAGAGCAGCTTTTCTAACCTGACCTGTGTCTTTGGTGCTGACGTTTCTTTAACTTGTCTCTTGATTTCTGTGCTTCCTTGTTTTATCATTAAGTGTGCTAGACATCTGGTCTTTGACTATTCTTTCCTTTACCTCCCATATCTCTTAACAAATGGAGAGACTTCAAAAGTGTCCCTCAAGCACATCTCTCCTCTCAGTTGTCTTCAGGTACTAGCATTGAGAAGCCCCTCCTTCAGTGCTCTTTACCTATGTCCTGAGAGTGCTCAGAGAGGGTAGAGGTGTCATAAACATTTTGTGTTTCATTTGATTCCTTTTTCATTGTTGATGTACTTTGAGCTGTGTGAGTAGCACATGTTTTCCAAGAAATTGTCTATTTCATTCAGACTTTAAATGTACTATAAAGCCATACCTTAAACTCTTGTTCTGTCTTTTCATTTTGGTATTATACCTCTGTTCCTCAATTTGCTTTCTCATCCTTTGTCTTCTTTTTTTCTTTACTACAACTACATTGGTTAAATGTGAAGTTTTGTTTTGTTTTTTATGTCAGAATGGACACTGGTTTTTTTTGTCATGAAATAATAACATTTTGTGAATGTGTATGTTTGTAAAGTATTGTTTTTCAAGGATCTACCAAGAATGTACCACCTGCCCCTGATTTCTTTTTTAAAGATGTTCAAGTATCGGGTTGCTTTGGTGGAAATATGAATTGTGTATTTATTAAGGACTCTCTAAATCAGTGAATCCTGTTTTCATCTCTTACAGGTGGATGGTGGAGCTGAGTGCCTTGTAGAAATCCGTAGCATAGTCTCAGAGTCCGATGTTTCATCGTTTGAAATCCAACACAGTGGATTTGTGAAGCAGCTGTTGCTTTATTTGACATCTAAAAGTGAAAAGGACGCTGTGAGCAGAGAGATCAGATTAAAGAGATTCCTTCATGTATTTTTTTCTTCTCCAGTAAGTTACCTAATAATCAGGCCTGGGTATCTTATTTTGAGAGTCATTTTTTTTACTTATGCGGATATTTTCATCCTAGGAGTAATTTCTAGTAGTTTTTGGTCAAGATATTGAGGTAAAAATTTTTTTTTTTTTTTTTTTTTGAGGTAAAGTTTTTAACTTGGATATTATACACATTTGGATTCCTTGGTCTTTTATACATTAGGTAAATAGTAACACAACAAAATGGTGAAGCAAGTGCACTTACTGAAGCAAGTGCCTATGTTGTGATTGATGTATCTTGATTCTGTGTTTTTGTGTAAGACAGACCATTATCTGTTTGGGCCTCTGGTAGCCTGGGCTTCCCTAGTGGTTCAGATGGTAAAGAATCCACCTGCTATGTGGGAGACCTGGGTTCGATCCCTGGGTTGGGAAGATCCCCTGGAGAAGGAAAAGGCAACCCACTCTAGTTTTCTGGCCTGGAGAATTCCAGGGACTGTATAGTCCATGGGGTCTCAAAGAGTCAGACATGACTGAGCGACTTTCACTTACACTCCCTGGTAGCTCAGATGCTCGAGTCTGCCTGCAATGTGGTAGGACCCAGGTTCAATCCCTGGGTCAAGAAGATCCCCTGGAGAAGGATATGGTAACCCACTCCAGTATTCTTGTCCTGAAAAATCCCATGGATGGAGGAGCCTGGCGGGCTACAGTCCATGGGGTCACAAAGTGTGGGACACGTCTGAGGAACTAACACGACTAACAATTGTGAATGTATTTGATTCTCAGTATCTGTTTTTAAGCATATTGCAGTTTGCAGTGTATTTTTAAATAGAAATGTGGTAGACATCATGTATCTATAGGCATAAGATAGAGTATATGTAAAGATTTCTATTTTGTATATAAGACACAGAACTAACAATTTTCATTGAGGAGTGGTTGATCACCATGTATAATGTGGATTATAAGACCAGAAGCCACAGAGCAGCTTCACTTTCTTCACTCAGTGAGTGGAAGTGAAAGAGTGACCTGGACACTGGTGACTTAACATCATTCTGCTTGTTCATAACGGCTTAACAGAAGGCTATTCTCTGGATCGACTGTGTAATAGGACTAAGGACAGCTCTCTTGTGTGTTAGTGAAACTGTCACTGTGTTTGGTCATTGTTTGCAGGCATTGCTTGCATTATTTTAACTTGTTCCACTGCCTAAAGCAAAATTGATAATTATTTGTGACTCATTAGTTGTGTAGTTAATACTGGATATAGTTTTATACAGTGCTTAAAATTACATACAGTCTGTAATCACTTATCAGAAATTCCTTGGGGCTGGATGGGTTTCATGAGTTCTGCCATACAGTACCTATACCACTTATTATCTGATAATCCCCAGTGGATTCTGAATAGTACTCTGTACACATTAAGTATTTTTGCAACAAAACATATGAATATTCCTACTAAATAAAGGTAAATAAAGACTTCAAATAGCCATGTATCTGCCTGGGTCAGATTTTGCCACCAAATGAGTAATGTTTTCAAGCCTTTTGGACTTAGGAATTGTGAATACGGGATTGTGTGCCTATTCAGAAAGTGTGTTTATTGAAATAATTTATTTGGAAGCATTGTTCCAGCTAAATCCATCACAAAAAACTACAATAGAGTAAGTCTTTTGTAAAACTGCCTACTAAATATTCTTGTTGAGTGTTCCATTTCATGAGGCCTTACTTAACCTGTTGGTTTATTTATAACTTTAGCTTCCTGGAGAAGAGCCCATTGAACGAGTAGAACCAGTGGGTAATGCACCTTTGTTGGCATTAGTTCACAAAATGAACAACTGCCTCAGCCAGATGGAACAATTTCCAGTCAAAGTGCATGACTTTCCCAGTGGAAATGGGACAGGAGGCAGGTAAGGATCCTTGCCTAGGTGTGCTCTTGCCACTGGATTTTATACTTTTGTTGAGGTAAAGTGCCAAGAGGTCTGGTGACATCTTAGACTGCTCAGAGAACACTCATTATAAGGACTAAGGAGATTAAATATTCTAATGTGTGAATCAAATAACTTTTATTTCTAAAATCATACCCTATATCTTAAACATGATGTTTTGAAAATATGAAACCAACTTGTGTTGGCAAGTCACAATAGGCTTAGTTTTCCTTAAATTGATGTACTTTAATAATATAAAGCTTTTCTTCAAGAAGTTTGTAGTTACAGATAACAAAATGATTACATTCTGTGTAATAATGTGATTTCATATGTGATCCAAGTGGTTATAACTTTGCGTTTTAATAGGTTTTAATGAATAAATATTTATTTTTTCTCATAGTGTAGTAGCTTTACCAGTACTCAAATATCGAAAGAATCCATTAAATTCCTTGATGTGTTTTTACAGAATGTTACAAGCTTCCTGGAATATTATGGCTAGTAGCCTGGAAAACTTTTAAAAAATTAGTTTGGTTTTAAAAACCATAGTCTGGTGTGTCTTAAAGATATTTAAAGTTTTGACTGAATTAAAACGGTATGCATTATTGAATAATGAAGTGATCAGTGTTGTCTAGGTTTTTTCCTGCTTTGAAACTTTATTGTATAGAGTGGTATTTAATTTTGATTATTAAACTGTCCTGGAAGATTTTTATGAAATAAAGGGGTACTTTCTAATACATACATGAGAAAACCATAATGTTTTTCATTTTTATCTGAATTTGTGTAAAGTATGTATGTTTGCATATGTATGTATCAGTATAATGGAATATTCTTTCTGATACCCCTATTTGCATGCCTTATCAAACCTTGTAGATAGCTTCATTTTAAACTCCTCTGTATCTTATTCTTGCCAGACCTTTTCAGAAATGAGCAATTAAATATCATTACCAGGTCTAGACTGATGTAGCTGTTAAACTGCTTCACTCAAAAGACTGTAGCAAAGTAAAATGTAAAGGTTAGTTTTTAAAGTAATTTTGTAACTGAAATCTTTGAAAGCAAAAAAATGAGGGTTTATTGTTTGTTTTTAAATAAATAGGGCTTAGTAGGTAATGGCAAAATATTGCAGAAAAGAGCATGCTCAAATGGTTCAGGAATTTTTATCCTGGGGAAATATAATTCATTCTCAGTGGTGAGGTATTTCTGCTCACATAGATTCTTGGTGGGACAGAGGTGAAATGTGTGAATGTTCTCATGTGCATGTGTACACATCCTCTTTTATGATAAAGTCTTTTCCAATAACTTGGAATTGCTGGCTGTACTATTTACATAACTGGTTAGTGCTACTTTGTGCCTCAGGAAAATGCAGTTTGTATTATCATGCTTTTATTTTAATTAATGTATGCTGATTTTGAAAATAATAGAATAACTTTTTTTCACAAATTATCTTGAGCTTCTCTCTCAACAGAGGATCACAGGCTTTAAAATTTTTCAACACCCATCAGTTAAAATGCCAGTTACAAAGACATCCAGACTGTGCAAATGTGAAGCAGTGGAAGGGTGGACCTGTCAAGATTGACCCCCTGGCTTTGGTGCAGGCTATTGAGAGATACCTTGTAGTTAGAGGTACTTTCTATATATGTATATTGTGTGTTTACATGTATGTTTGGGATGAAATTAACGTTAAGGGATATATAAATTATCTCGCTGTTCATTACTGTGTCTGTCAAAACCTAGCATCAGGAACTTGTGTGCTTATTACTTATTTTATATGTAGTATATAGAAATGTTAAATTTTTTTAGGGGTTGACTGCTTACTTGGATGACTGGGTGGGTGATGGGTTGATTTATGCTGGTGTAATAGAAATGACATTTTGTAATGTAATGTAATAGAAATGACATTTTGTACCTGACAGTTTTCTTAGATCTTTCTGCTTTGTAGATCAAAGTGTAATATACATGTTTTTCCAGGAATGATTAGATCAAAATGTAGCATACATATTTTTCTAGGAGTATGTTAGTTTAACATGTGTATATATAGGTTTTTCTTTGCCATCCCAAATTGCCAGGAGTTTAACAGACTTCTTGGGTCCTTAGGGTATGGAAGAGTAAGAGAAGACGATGAAGACAGTGATGACGATGGCTCTGATGAGGAAATAGACGAATCTCTGGTAGGGTGCTATTCCCACCGTGTTTCAATGTGTCAAGTTCAGGGCCGATAGCGTAAATGGATTTTGTTTTTGCTCTGTTTAGGCTGCTCAGTTCTTAAATTCCGGAAATGTGAGACACAGGCTACAGTTTTACATTGGAGAGCATTTGCTACCGTATAACATGACTGTGTATCAGGCAGTACGGCAGTTCAGCATACAGGCTGAAGACGAACGAGAGTCCACGGATGACGAGAGCAATCCTCTAGGAAGAGCTGGTATTTGGACGAAAACTCATACGATATGGCAAGTCTGAAAATTGACTTTGGCTTTTCATCAACAGTGTTCGTGTGTTTTGGAATTCCTATTACTGGCTGGCTTGCATAAGGAGAGAATGGACTCTAAATTCTATAGTTTGTTATTGAATGCCACTTTGAGCATTGCATCTTGTGTGTGTGTGTATGTATGTTAGCTTCCTCATTAAATCTACTTGAAAACGTGTTTGGGCAATAAATAATCATAACTTGTATTTACTTTTCTAGTAGCTTCATGTCTTTAAATAAGTCAGAGAAGAACATAAGATGATGATCCTGTAGGAGGAAGTTTGGCACCTTTGATCCCTTAGAGGCATTTGGGTGCAGTTTCCTACATTACTGATGAATGTCTGCATACTTATTGAAAGAGAGTGATTCTTCCCAGAACCATCCCTTGGAGTTGGCCCCTCCTAGGATGGTGATCTCGGGGTCTTTTCTAAGAATCAGTCCCACTGACATTTCTCCAAATCCATAACTAGGGAGAGAGTGGCTAGATCTCAGGGAGTTGTTCTGGTAACTGTGGCATCTGTGGCTTGCAATTTGGCCTTGAAGAATAACTTGCAGTTTTAAAATCTACTTTTGGTTTTCGTACTGTATTACTTTAGGTACAAACCTGTGCGAGAGGATGAAGAAAGTAATAAAGATTGTGTTGGTGGTAAAAGAGGAAGAGCCCAGACAGCTCCAACAAAAACTTCTCCTAGAAATGCAAAAAAGCATGATGAGCTGTGGAATGGTGAGTGATGCCGACAGGGCAGTGGGTTGCCATTGCCGTGGGGCAGTAGGCTTCCTGCTCTCAAGGTGTTAACAGTGTTGTGTATCAAGTAGTAAAAGATTTACATAGAATTTATGAAGATATAAATTGCTACAAACACTTGGTTGCTTTAAACTGAACCCTATGAAACCTTGTCTTCAGAGAATATTGGGAAAAACTTTTTGATGAGACTGGTCATTGGCAGGGTGTCCCTTAGCTTTTATTGTTATTCGTTACAATAGTATGATCTAGCAGTTATAGAAGGAATAGAAAGTTTTGGCAGGTTATAAAATGACTACCGAAAGTAGTTGACACCTCCAGTTGACTTACCTTCCTCTGTAGTATTTCCTTCCAGTCTGATTTTGCTCATTTCCTGCCCTTCTTTTTTAATATGATGGTAACCATGCCTCACTGACAGGCTGCTTTCCTGGGGGACCACTCCCTATCAGGGATTTCTAGTCACTGGTGATGTTGAAATTTCCCTGGTCCACAGAAATAAGTGATCATAGCAGTTTTGTTTTTCATAGAACCAAGTTTTTTTCAACATAAGAAGGTCTTTATTTTGAGATATTTGTGTTTTTGATATTAAAAAAATTGCCCTTTTATGCAGTGATCATGTTGTACTTTTTAATTTCTTTGCTTGGTAAAAGTACATGATAACAGGTCAATCTTTTTTTTTTTTAATTGCTATTACTTTGTGAGATCTAACAGCAAAGGAATCTCAGATCCTACTTGAAACTGTCACATTCTGTCATGTCCTTAAAGCTTGCTAGTGTTTTTCTGTTTTATATGGTCATTTTAAGCTGGATATTAAAAAATCCAGGAAATATCTATGACTCTGAATGTGAATATTTTGTCTTTACTCCTCTGTGGCCATTTTCTCGTTACCTTATTTTTCATAGTGTAAAGGGGAATGCAAAGCAATCAGTTTTTCTCCTCTACAGTGTATTTGTATGGGAGGGAAAGTGAAATATTCCTAAGCGTGGATGATTTATCTATAAGACAAGGAGGAAGAAATGTTTAAGCTATCAGTACTTATTAATAAGATACTGAGTGTTAAACCTTAATCACTTGTGGTCACTGGTTTAGGCACAATGAGATGATGCTGGCTCCATTAGCTACACCTTTCTAACTTTGATCAGCACTTAACTTTGAACTCTTGCCCTCTAGATGGAGTGTGCCCGTCTGTATCAAATCCTTTAGAAGTTTACCTCATACCCACAGCACCCGAAAATATAACTTTTGAAGACCCGTCATTAGATGTGATTCTTCTTTTAAGAGTTTTACACGCCGTCAGTAGATACTGGTATTACTTGTATGATGTGAGTAATTCTGCCTACTTGAAATTTTCCTGTTGTATTGTCATAACACATTATCTCATGGTTTCTGTCTAGTGGTTGATCAATTTCTTATTGTACTAGAAAGAAAAACAGTGATTCAGCCAAATAGCAGGAATCCCAGCCCAGTGACTTGCAGTGTACTTGTCAGTGGGAGCTTCTCCCTCCCTCTCCCTCCTTGCCCCCACCCCGTGTTCTTGGATTAGTTCTCTTGGCAGACTCATAAACTATTCTCTAGCTGTAATTTGTCAAATCAAGCAACAGAGTAAAAGTTGAACATTAATTTATTGTAATTAAATCTTTAGGTACGTTTAGCTTAAAGTCCATTTATTCAAGATGTATATGAGGTCAGGCAAAAGTTGAATGCTGTCTTAAATACATAAGAATAATGGAGGGAAGAATGAAGGGCAGTTGGCCTTGCTAGAAACATCAGCTGGTGTGTCCATGTCTGAGCTAGTGCCAGCGGCCTGCGGGGGTTGGGATGTTTCAGCTATGCATTGTAAAAATTGTCTTTTGGGTTGGGACATACCAACAAGAAACTGTATGTTAAAAACCAGCAGGGAAAATCTAAGCACTCTGTGTACATATTTGGGGGTAAAGGAGAAGAGCAGAAACATAATCCTCGTGTTTTACTACATCATAGACTTTTTTTGTTTTTACAGAATGCAATGTGCAAGGAGATTATCCCAACTAGTGAATTTATTAACAGTAAGTTGACAGCAAAAGCAAATAGGCAGCTTCAAGATCCTTTAGTAATCATGACAGGAAACATCCCGACATGGCTTACTGAACTAGGAAAAACCTGGTAAGACAATCACTTCTGTCCTGGTGGGCTTGAGAGTGTTACCATTTGTGTTGGTCTCCACATAATTTGTTACAAAAGCATAGTCTTTAGTTGAGCCTATTTAATGATGTCACTTTAGTGGCCAAACAGACAGGGTCAACTGGGGCCAGTCCTGGGTCTACTTGATAGTGTCTTTATATGTGAAATAGGAAAGAACAAGGATATTTGACCAAAGAGATTCGACCATCTTCCATCATAAAATTGGAAACCAAAGGTGGAGTTGGTTGATTGTTCAAGCCTGTTTGGGTCCAGAGCTACATTCTCAGAGAGAATAGGACTACACTGGTGAATACAGTAACCACAGCTGCATGTAGCTGTATTTACGTTTAGATTAATTAAAATGAAAGAAAATTGAGTTTTCTGGTCACACTCTTTACATCCTTGCCTGAATTTCCATATTGGACAGGATGGATACTGAATGTTTAGATCATGATAAGAAATGCTCTTGGCAACTCTTTGTCAAGATCTTCCAAAATCATGTATCAGGAGCTGGCAAAGCCTATGTTACTGCAGCATTCATTTTTTAAAAACCACCAGCTGCCTTTTCGCAGTTTTGAGTGACTTGACAAATGCCAAAACTTAAGAGGAAAATCATGAGCTTAGTAACAACCATTACTTGTGTATGTATGGTGGAATGGGGTGGGCTGGCAACCTGGTGAAGTGGTGATTATATTTTAAAATTTAGCCTTCCCTAATCTTGTTATACATATTTACTAAGATTCTTGGGTAGATTAAAGATGATCTTGGATGGACTTGACCTTAGTGGTTGAATTTCAGATTTCATAGTGAATGGCTGCTTAATGCATTATTACTAAATCTCTTAGAAAGTTCATGCAAGAATTATGAAAATTACTCAAAATTAGTTTGAGTAGACCATTTTTTATTACACTGTAATTATTAATCTGTATCATATCAAAAGGTGTTTCTAAGATAGGATTTTTAAGTGGTTTCTGATTCTAATTCAGTTAATAAATTTATATTGCATCTTTCTACAGCCCATTTTTCTTCCCTTTTGATACCCGGCAAATGCTTTTCTATGTAACTGCGTTTGATCGGGACCGAGCAATGCAGAGATTACTTGATACCAACCCAGAGATCAACCAGTCTGATTCTCAAGATAGCAGAGTTGCACCTAGATTGGATAGAAAAAAAGTAAGTTTCTCCCATAAGTATTTAAAGTTAAGTCATACTGAGCTTTTAAAATAGTGGGAAAACTACACATGTGATGCATCTAATTCTCCCTGTTGGTTTAGAGACTTCATCAGTTCAGTCACTCAGTTGTGTTCGGCTGTTTGCGACACCATGGACTGCAGCATGCCAAGCTTCCCTGTCATGTCACCAGTTCCCGCAGCTTACTCAAACTCAAGTCCATTGAGTCAGTGATGCCATCCAACCATCTCATCCTCTGTCATCCCCTTCCCCTCCTGCCTCCAATCTTTTCCAGCATCAGGGTCTTTTCCAGTGAGTCATTTCTTTGCATCAGGTGGCCAGAGTATTGGAGTTTCAGTTTCAGCCTCAGTCCTTCCAATGAATATTCAGGACTGATTTCCTTTAGGATGGACAGGTTGGATCTCCTTGCAGTCCAAGGGACTCTTCAAGAGTCTTCTGTAACACCACAGTTCAAAAGAATCAATTCTTCGGTGCTCAGCTTTCTTTATAATCCAACTCTTACATCCATACATGACTACTGGAAAAACCATAGCTTTCACTAGACACACCTTTGTTGGCAAAATAATCTCTGCTTTTTAATATACTGTCTGGGTTGTTCGTAATTTTTCTTTCAAGGAGCAAATGTCTTTTAGTTTCATGGCTGCTGTCACTACCTGCGGTGATTTTGGAGCCACAAAAAATAAAGTCTGTCACTGTTTCCATATCTATTTGCCATGAAGTGATGGGACTGGATGCCATCATCTTAGTTCTCTGAACGTTGAGTTTTAAGCCAGCTTTTTCACTCTCCTTTCTGACTTTCAAGAGGCTCTTTAGTTCTTCTTCACTTTCTGCCATAAGGGTGGTATCATCTGCATATCTGAGGTTATTGATATTTCTCCCAGCAATCTTGATTCCAGCTTGTGCTTCACCCAGCCCAGCATTTCTCATGATGTACTCTGCATACAGTTGAGTAAGCAGGGTAACAATATAGTCTTGATGTACTCTTTTCTCGATTTTGAACCAGTCTGTTGTTCCATGTCCAGTTCTAACTGTTGCTTCTTAACCTGCATACAGATTTCTCAGGAGGCAGGTCAGGTGGTCAGGTATTCCCATCTCTTGAAGCATTTTCCACAGTTTGTTGTGATCCACACAGTCAAAGGCTTGGGCCTAGTCAATAAAACAGAAGTAGATGGTTTTCTGGAACTCTCTTGCTTTGTCAGTGATCCAACAGATGTTGTCAATTTGATCTCTGGTTACTCTGCCTTTTCTAAACCCAGCTTGAACATCCAGAAGTTCATGGTTTACGTGCTGTTGAAGCCTGTCTTGGAGAATTTTGAGCATTACTTTGCTAAGCGTGTGAATTGAGTACACTTGTGCGGTAGATTGAACATTCTTTGGCATTGCCTTTCTTTGGGATTGGAATGAAAACTGACCTTTTCCTGTCCCATGGCCACTGCTGAGTTTTCCAGATTTGCTGGCATATTGAGTGCATTACTTTCACAGCATCGTGTTTTAGGATTTGAAATAGTTCAGCTGAAATTCCATTGCCTCCAATAGCTTTGTTCATAGTGATGCTTAAGACCCACTTGACTTCGCATTCCAGGATGTCTGACTCTAGGTGACTGATCACACCATCGTGGTTATCTGGGTCATGAAGATCTTTTTTGCATAGTTCTGTGTATTATTGCCACCTCTTCTTAATATCTTCTGCTTCTGTTAGGTCCTTATCGTTTCTCTTCTTCATTGTGCCCATCTTTGCATGAACTGTTCCCTTGGCATCTCTATTTTTCTTGAGATTTCTAGCCTTTCCCATTCTGTTGTTTTCCTCTATTTCTTTGCATTGATCACTGAGGAAGGCTTTCTTATGTCTCCTTGCTATTCTTTGGAACTCTGCATTCAAATGGGTATGTCCTTTTCTCCTTTGCCTTTCGCGTCTTTTCTTTTCTCAGCTATTTGTAAGGCCTCCTCAGACAGCCATTTTGCTTTTTTGCATTTCTTTTTCTTGGGTATGGTCTTGATCCCTGTGCAACGTCACGAACCTCTATCCATAGTTCATCAAACACTCTGTCTTATCAGATCTAATCCCTTGAATCTATTTGTCACTTCCACTGTATGATGGTAAGGGATTTGATTTAGGTCATACCTGAACAGTCTAGTGATTTTCCCTACCTTCTTCAATTTAAGTCTAAATTTGATAATAAGGAGTTAGTGGTCTTAGCCACAGTCAGTTGCCTGTCTTGTTTCTGCTGACTGTGTAGAGCTTCTCCATCTTTGGCTGCAAAGAATGTAATCAGTCTGATTTTGGTATTGACCATCTGGTGATGTCCATATGTAGAGTCTTCTTTTGTGTTGCTGGAAGAGGGTGTTTGCTGTGACCAGTGTGTTTTCTTTGCAAAACACTGTTACCCTTTGCCCTGCTTCATTTTGTGCTCCAAGGCCAGATTTTCCTGTTAACTCCAGATATCTCTTGACTTAGGTTTGCATTCCAGTCCCCTATAATGAAAAGGACATCTTTTTTGGTTGTTGGTTCTAGAAGGTCTTGTAGATCTTCATAGAACCGTTTAACTTGAGCTTCCTCAACATTACTGGTTGGGGCATAGACTTGTGATATTGAATGGTTTGCCCTGGAAACGAACAGAGATCATTCTGTTGTTTTTGAGATTGCATCCAAGTACTATATTTCTCACTCTTGTTGATGGTGATGGCTACTCCATTTCTTCTAAGGGATTCTTGCCAACAGTCATAGATGTAATGGTCTTCTGAGTTAAAATTCACCCATTCCAGTCCGTTTTAGTTCACCCATTCCAGTCCATTTTAGTTCACCGATTCCTAAAATGTCTATGTTCACTCTTGCCATCTCCTGTTTGGCCACTTTCAATTTGCCTTGATTCATGGATCTAACATGAACCTTGATTCATGGACCTGCCTTAGTCATAGTCTTTGGTTTTCCTCTTATCCAGATGTGTTCTCCATATCTTCCTGTCAATTTCTTAGAATTTCTTGGGATTCTTCTTTACTCCAATAAGAGTCCTCTCCCATCCTCAGTTTCTATAATGATTTTTATGATTGTTTTTCTCTTTCAGTCTCCATAACTCTTGTGCAAAGGAAGAATATTGTGTTCTTTTATTGAGACTTCTTTTCTTTCTAAATTACAAACTCTGTGTCACTTTTATAACTGATGCCTTTATGCTATAGATAGAATTAATCAAATCCACATCATTCCCTTGGCGAATCAGTTCAATTAGAAGAGATACACCACATCCCTGATGTAGTTCATGTCTCTAAGCCAGTCAGCCCTTGTGTTGCTGATTTCATTTTTTTATGCTTCTAATCCTGGCCTCACATTGATAGCTCTAAACCACACAGCCCTGGGCTGTTTCCATTGAAGACCTGTCTTGTACTTCCCACACTGCACTGCCTTTTCCTCAGGACTTCTCTGTTCATCTGTTTCTTTCTTGCTGAGGAGTCTTATTGAAGTCTGTCTTCCTAATAAAAACTTCTGTCTCCATAAGTTTCATAAAAGCCATTAAAATGTAATGGCATGAAAGGGGAGGGGGGGCAGGTGAGAGGAATGAGAAGTGAAATAGAAAAATGTTTTTTTTAAATCCTGTCTTTATTTGTGTCATTTATCATTCTGAAACACACAGCATTGGTAGTATTTGGGAATCTATCAGTACCTTTCTTGGTACCATGAATCTCCTCAGTAGATGTTTGCAGTAGTGCTTGTAGGATCTCTGCAGGTCACCTATCACCTGCATGGTTACTTCTCCATCATCTGTAAATGTACCCAGCGAGACTTTGTGGAGCCACAGCCTTGAATTCCATTGATGTTTGAGAAGGTTACAGAGATCCTTCCTTTACCAACTTGAATTTTCTGAATATCCCATGGGCTCAAGATAGTAATTACACTTACATCTAGCTTTTCTTCATGATAGCCAGATGTTGTTGACATTTGTAGCTCTGTAGCTATATCTTAAAACATTTTCTGAGGTGTGCTTTTTTAAGAAATAATTTTTAACAGTTGAATTGATTCCCCCACCCCCATCCCACTGAGAGAAATACCCCGTGTTTATTAAAATCTCCTCACATTTGTACTTGCTTTTGCAGCGTACTGTGAACAGAGAGGAGCTGCTGAAACAAGCGGAGTCTGTAATGCAGGATCTTGGCAGCTCACGGGCCATGTTAGAAATCCAGTATGAAAATGAGGTGAGCTTAGGAGGCTGTTGACTTGTGCTCGTGACAGGATGGCTCTTGGTGAAGTTTTAAAAGATGATTGGGAAATTACCTCAGAACTTGAGATTCAGTCTGTTTTCCCTTCAGTGGTTTGTTCCAAGGTCTCCATTTTTGAGGTTACATTGTATAATGAAAGACAGGGTTTTTTTCCCCTGGCATAAAAACAAGTGTTTGTTTAGGTTGATAAAGTGAAAGGTTTTAAATATAACTTCAAAAATCTCCCAACTTCTGTTTACTGAGCTACAACTCATATATAATTCACACTTTTGTCATTAAGTTACTCAGTTCTGAAAGTTGACAGATGTATGCAGTCTATGAACCACTACCACATCAAGATAAAAGAATAAAATCCCATCACCACAGAGTTCTTTTCCACCATTTTATAGTCAGTCCCCAGCCTTTATTCACCTTGCCTTTGTTTCCTGTGACCTTGATAAACTTACTGGTTCTAGAACTTTCTAAATTGATCATTTGGGAGGGTTGTAGATACAGGGCTTGGGCAACTTTTCTATGAAGAGCCAGAAAATAAATATTTCAGGCTTTGTGGGCCCTCGGATCTTCATCAGAACACCTCAGCTCTGCCTCAGTAGCCTGAACATGGCCCTGCACACACAGACACGAAACGAGCATGGCCGTGTGTCAGTGAAACTTTATTTGTAGTCACTGAAATTTGAAGTCGTGTAATTTTTACATATTATGAGATATTATTCAAGAATTTTTAATATTGTAGACTCGTTCTTAGCTTACGGACTGTACAAAGCAGGCAGTAGGTCTGAGCTATAGTTAACTGATCCACATTGGAGACAGTCATGTCATCAATGAAAAAAGACAACTTTTCTTTCTAATCTTTGTCTTTTTCTTTTGAGATGTTTTTAAATAGCCAGGCCAGTGCACCAGAGGCTCAAATAATGATTTTCTGTCTACTTTGACCCGGAAGTATTGAGTCTCCTGAGGGTGCTTTCCTTCCTCTTTCCCTTAGGACAAAACTTAAGTCTTTAAATTTCTAAAACTCATGAACATAACATACAATGTTCCATTATACTGATTGCTAGCTGACTCAGTTGCTCAGTCGTGTCCAACTCTCTGCAACCCCACAGACTGTAATCAGCCAGGCTGAAGAGATACAGTTCTTATGTGTTTACAAGCCCAGATTTCTTATTTATGGAACTGTAAGATCTTTGCTCTAGTCAGGTTGGTCTGCTTGGTTATTTAAACATGCTTTGTCTACTTTTTTTGACTCCATATTTTCCTCTCACCAGGCATGACTGTCCTTTCTCTCTTATCCTTAATGCCTCTCTTCAGGTTGCATCTTACATGAGTCCTAAACAAGTTCAGAATAGCATCACAGATTATTCCAGGGGACAGGATTGAATTACTGATAGAGAAATCATAATTTTATGATTTTCATTAACGAGTCTCACCTGATGACTCTGGAAACAAGAGTCTGTGAGCCAGCTTCGTTGAGGAAGAGGAGTAGGGAGGGGTGCTGGCTTCATATGTGCCCAGTACCTCAGGTTATAAGCCACATTCAACCGTTTAAGTCAGCTGGTGGCTGTTAGGAAGTCTTTCTCACTAGCTCTATAAGAAACTTGATCCAAAATGTCGGAACAAAATGGGCTCCATTATCAAATAGAGACTGGTAAGCCAGGGAGGAACTAAGCCAGTCTCTGGGCTCAGCAAGCAAGCCCAGGGTTTGGAGCTGCAGATGACCCAGCCGCCCTGACAGTGAAAGGTTAGGTGCCTGGACTGACAAGTCTGGTGCTGCCACTTACTGACTATATGAAGTTGGGCAGGTTATGTAAACTCCCCAGTGATAACCCAGCAAAGGGCACAATAAATGTACCTACCCCATTATGTTGTTAAAATGATCAAATGAGCTAAAATATAAAAAGAACAACATTATCTGTCACATTGTATATGTTAGTATATAAGCTTTAATTTTGGAAAGGAAAAGACTCAAAGTTTCAAATAAGAGTGTTGTCTTTTTTTGTTTGTTTGTTTTTCAGTGTTTGTTTCTAGACCTTTATTTTTTTCCTGCCTGTTGGAGAGGAAGACATTTTCCTCTACCCTTCTAGGTTCTTCTGGCTGGTCTACGAAATTGGCATGGGGCAGATTACAGGAAAAAATGAAGGAGACTTGTAACTCATCAAAATGGTCTCAGCTCTCATCTTAAATACCCCCTTCAGCCCAAAGACAAAAGAGGATGTGGGGGTGGTGGTTTCAGACTTCAAAGGAGAGGAAGGCAATTCACATGGAGCAGATGTTTAGTAAACAAATATTTGCTGGGCCAGGCAGGGACAGTGGGACCCAGGAGTGGACTCTGTTCTCAAGGCCCTGTGCCCCGCCCCCCTAACCCAGCAACTGTCCCTGGCCGTCTCTGGCCTGTATTCTTTGCAGATGCCACTGCTGATAGCTCTATTCTGGGAACAGGCCCTTTGTCTAATTCTTCTAGGCAGTTAGAGAGTGAGTCAAAGTTTCTTCCTTTGTCTTTTGGGCCTTGATTGTTTTTCACTGTAAGTGATCCACATGCCAAAGAAACTTTTTGAGATTGGCAAGTTTTGTACCTCTGCATTCCTTTAAAAACTGATGAAGCAAAACTAGAATATCTGCTTTTCTTTTTCTTTTTTGAAGGAATGGCTGGGTAGGATGAAGATCCTGAAAAGGTCAGGTTGGTCTGCAGGGTTGCTGGTCACCCAGTGCAGGGTGACTTGTCAGAGCAGCTGTCTTGGTCCTTTCTCCCTCCCAGAGATTTGCTAGGGTGAAGGCGGATGTAGTGATACCCATGTCATTTAATATTTTAAGTTGAGTCTGTTTGAAATAACAATATTGGGATGGAGAAAACAGGCTGCTTTGATCTATGATTTCTGTTTAGCCTGGGGTAATTAACGCTGAAAGGAGGTAGGGATAACTGCTTTAAAGCACCATCTGGTGGACACCAGGTGTTACTGCAGTTTTTTTCTTTGCCGCCTTTTCCCACCTTTCTCCAGAGCTGACAACTGAGTGGAGAACAAAAGACCCAAAGTCCTTACTGTCACAGAGCTTTTAGTTTGGGAAGGCCCATACACACTCACTCACTCATGTGCGCATATATATGTTAAGGTGTGTGCTGAAGAAAACTGAAGCAAAATAAGAGCATGACGAGGAGGGGGTAGGTTGGTGTAAGTTGACATTTGAGCAACAGTCATTACGGTTACTTCCCTGGTGGCTTAGAGGTATAAAGAATTCACCTGCAGTGCAGGAGATGTGGGTTTGATCCCTGCTTTGGCAAGAATCCCTGGAGAAGGAATTGGCAACCCACTCCAATATTCTTGTCTGGAAAATCCCATGGACAGAAGAACCTTGTGGGCTACAGTCCCTGCGGTCAGGAGAGTCAGACACAAGTTAGAAACTAAACCACCACTAGCATTACTGTCTAGGGGAAAGACTGTCTCTTAACAAAAGAAGAGTGAAGCAAAAAGCCCTGAGGCAAAATTCTTGTCCTGCTGAAGGACAACGGTAGCTAGAAGGTGTCAAGGGATCACACGGGACATGCAGGCCTAGCTCAGAATTTGAGCTTCTGCTTGAACGAGGTGGGGAGCCTTTGGAGGGCATGGAGGAATGACGTGAGCTTGGGCTGTACGAGGATCACTCTTCAGCTGTTTGAGTAGGATGTGAGATGTAAAGACGCAGGAGACCACTTAGCAGGCTTCAGCACTGGGCTAGATGAGAGATCCTTTGGTTACCAGTTGAGTACAGATTTTGAAGATGGGGTTTCCAGTGTTTAACAGAGGGCTGTTACATGAGGTGCAGGAAGGGGAAGAGCCTCGGTGGCTCCGAGGCTTTGGTTGCAGCAGGGGGTAAATGCTGATAGCAGTTAAAACTGTGTACTGACTAGCGTGAGCTGGGGCAGGAAGCGTTGCCAGGTCCAAGCAGGTAGCTGTTTGGAAAGTTACACTTAACTTACTCAGTAGACTGGATCTAAGCTAGTGGGGGTGCCTTTAAAAAAGTAACTGTGTTAATGGTAAGATAATGCCCATTATTTACTAGTAATCAGTAAGTGAAATAGAACCTTCCTAATAGGACTATGGTTAGAGTAAGCTTACAAACTATGGTATTAACTTGTCATTAGTTGCATATCTGATTTATGCTGTGAGCACATAGGACATGAAAGTTACGATGACTGCCAGGATCGCGTGTCTCATGGAGGAGAGTTTTTTACTCAGTGCTCTCCCTTCGGAGCTTGTTTACAAATATCAGTGCCCAGGCTGTAAATCAGACTCCCCTAGGCATGTCACCCCTCTCTGTGTATCCTGGCTCTTGGGAGACTCCAGGGCACCCCAGGCCTGAAGCAGTACCAACACACTCTGAGTTAACGCTGTGGCTGCTGATGTGGGTTCAGACCTTCGTGTTTGTGTGTTTGTTTTATTCAGCACCCTCGATTAAATGGCTAATAAGGTGCCCAGGCACTATGAAGGATAGAAGGTAACTAAAGTTAACCCAGGTGAGATGCGCCGTTACTGTAGAGTGAAATCACTGTAGTGTAAGGTGGTGAGTCCTTTTGCAGTCAGAGTGTAAGTTCTGAAAAAGGAGCAAAGTAACTGGGAAGATACAGAGGCTTCTGCTGCAGAGTGGACATGCGAGCTGTTCTTGGACCAGGGGAACAGATCACAAAGAGAGAAGGGAAGGGGATCCCTTCCAGACACTGCCATCTATCCCTGAGGCCAGGGCACGAGGCTGCAAGACTAATCTTATCAGTGCACGAACTTGAACCATACAATTTAAGTGTTGGGGCCACAGGGAGTGGGAAGTAATAAAGGGCTCTCCATCCAGGTGACCAGGACTGAGGGAAGACAGTTTGGGGAGTAGACTTGAATACATCCTGATAAACAATTGCTGTTAGTATCGACTTTGCCAAAAGGTCAGCAGGTTCCAAAGGGGGACAGCACAGATTGTAAAATTTACCTTGTCCTGCTTTTGTTCCTCTGTAGGTTGGCACAGGTCTTGGGCCTACACTGGAGTTTTATGCACTTGTATCTCAGGAACTGCAGAGAGCTGACTTGGGTCTCTGGAGAGGGGAGGAAGTAACTCTTAGCAATCCAAAAGGTAATAAATGATCTGTGAGTGTGTCACTTTGTCATTATTGGGTAAAGGGCCCATAACAATTCATTATATATGTTTAGCTTACAGTAGAGAGCCAGGCCCTCTGACCTAATTTCTTTTCACCTTTGTTTTCTCATCTACCAAATACGATGAGGCCCTTCCAGCTCCAGAGGACTTTATTCTGTGATCTGCTGACTGATCCTGAGAATACTAAATTTCTTAACTGTTCTTAATTACCTGGTTTTGTCTTGTTTTGTGCAATGACACCTAAAGTTTGGTGACTTACTCATTTTATAGGAAGCCAAGAAGGGACCAAGTATATTCAAAACCTCCAAGGCCTGTTTGCGCTTCCCTTTGGTAGGACAGCTAAGCCAGCTCATATTGCAAAGGTTAAGATGAAGTTTCGCTTCTTAGGAAAACTAATGGCCAAGGCTATCATGGATTTCAGATTGGTAAGTTTAGAGTTGTTTTTCTACAGTTCTTTTATACTTCTGTTCTATGCCAGTCCCTTAAATCCCCTACACTTAATGCTGTATTTTAAGAGAGCGCTTTCACAAATGTTAGTGTGCACATGAATTGCTTGGAGAATTTCTTTGAAAATCCAATTTTGGTTCAGCGGCTCATGGGTCAGGCCTGGGTTTCCACATTTCCTAACCAGCATCCAGGGGATACCCAGATGCCAGTCTGTGGACCACTCTTGTGGCAGCAGAGGCTCAGAGAATCAAGGAATATTAAGGGTGGCTTTAATTTTATATATTTTATATATATATATATCAGAGAATTTTATATATTTATATAGATAAAATTCTCTGGGGGATCTTGGTTGAAAAAAATGAGCTGTTAATTATTTTTGAAGTTTCATTTTAATTACAACTAATTGTTTCTTTTATAATTCTTGTTTCTGAATATGCAGTAATAGAGACTAAAGTAGAATTATGTTCACTTGGTCCAAAAATAAAGTAAGCTGCCTCTGAACATCTCTTGGTGTTGAGGTCCTTATGGAAAAATATACGTCCATCATTGAAAGCTTCCTTTTTAGGGTCAGTGTTTAAATAGGAATCTTCAATATTCAGGGTTTTTTTTTTTTCCACTGTCAGGGCCCCGGATTGAGTTTAAATGGGGATAGTTTTGTGTAATAAGAGAAACAGTTTTTAAGTTTGTGGTTATCCGTCTCCCCCCACCCCCGCCTCGGGGATTACTTGACCTTTTAAAATGACCTCTTGAAGTGTCACTTAAAGAATGGAGGCACTGCTAGAAGCTTAATGTGACTATTACAGCATTTGCATCTTCTCTTTTAGGTGGACCTTCCCCTGGGCTTACCTTTTTATAAATGGATGCTACGGCAAGAAACTTCGCTGACATCACACGATTTGTTTGACATTGACCCAGTTGTAGCCAGGTCAGTGTATCACCTTGAAGACATCGTCCGACAGAAGAAAAGACTTGAACAAGATAAATCCCAGGTAGGCTTAGAAGATGGGGTCTTTGTTAAGTGATTTCTGTTTGGCCTGGTTATTATTTTATATTAAAAGAGTTTAATTGCTATTATAACAGCTGAAACATATGATTTTACAGTGGGTAAGATGGCCTGTAATAACAGCAGATGATGAACAAGCAACTTGACCAGCAAATAAAATACACCCCTAGCTAAAACCATAGGGCTCGTTTATTACATTTTAGGTGGATGTTATGTATCCGGGCAGATACTCTGTCATATTGAATTTTTTCAGTAAGCATTTGAATCAATAAAGCTATTCTTAGGGCAACAGATTGATTTTCTGGAAAGATGGCTTAATTTAGCAACAACCTATTTGTTTTTAGAGAAATCTCAGGAAGGTACTTTTAAAGGTCATGGTGGTGTCACTATTTGTTGGTAACATCTGTTGAGATTTCTCTGTTAGATCTCATGAATGATCTTGATCTTTATATCATTAATGTATATTTTTCATATATTAACAAAATTAAATAATTTGATTCAGTCTGAGAGTAATAGGGTTCTGTATCTGACATTGGAAGAAGACAGAATTTTATTTTTTGAGAAGCGGCATAGAGTCAGATGTCTTTATATTGGGGCAAGTAACATGGACCAGTGATAAATCAACTCGTATATTTTGTAAACTGCATAAAATAAGAATAAAGAATTAAGATTCTATAGCTTGGTAAAAGGTTATGTCTCTCAATAAGGTAGATAGGAGCTTATTGGAGATGGGGCTTTTAGAGTACCTTTTTGTCAAAAAAGAAGATGATTTGTAAGAATTTTATCTCCCATATTTATTGATAATTATTAATGGTAATTTTTTGGTAAACATTTATTAAGAGAAATTGGTTTTTAAAGAAGCCAGATCCATCTTTTCCATATAAGATATGTTGTCTTAGGATTTTTAAAACCAGTTAGGTTTATGCTTACCAACCTTGTAAACTACTATAATCTTGTTTAAGATCATCTCTTAGGTAATTAATGCTGCACCACCACAAACCACACCTCCTCAAACCTCTCCCCCCACCAATAAAGTACAATTCATGATCCTCTTCCAAGAGCCTTATGTGTATTAATGCATTTAATCCATTGTGAGATACACATGTTTTTGTTATCCCTACTTTACACATGAGACACCCAACGCAGATAGTTTGAGTTGCCAAGGTCACTTAGCTGAAATACCTGAGAGCTGGACTTCAAACCCAAGCTCTCTGCTCTGGAGGCCACGGTCTTAGAGCTTTTACAAGCTCTCTTATGTATCCTTGTCTCCTGTGTAGTCTGCTGCATTCTCTTCCTCAAATCTTTTGAGATTTGTTCTTCTAATGTTTATTATTCTGATGTTACCAATTTAAAAGTGTAAGATGCGAAGCACAAGAACCACCTTCCAGAAAACTTCAACCAGAACTTGAAGACTGGTGGTATTCTCAAATGTCTTACTTCTTTATTTATAAAGCATACAGATGGAACAAGGTGTCCAAGCTGAGCTTCCACTTGGTAATTTAAATTCTTGAAAAATACATGAAAAATGGGCTAAAGCATAGCTCTTAATTTAATATGTAATATGTAAAGCTAATCCCTTTTAAACATTTCAAGGACATACTGTATATTTTAGATTCCTATCAATAATAGCATTGTTTAGAGCTTTCCAGTGGGAGAGTTTTTATTAAGTCCTTTTGCTGACAGGCATTTCAAATGAAAAATGGAAAACCTTTCTTGTGTGTCATGAAATGATGTACCCAAACTGAGAGAGATGTAAACATGTGTTTTTGCAGAGAAGCAAAAACTGAACAAAGTGTTTTACCTTAATGTTAAATAACTCTGCCCCACCCCAATGCTATGTTTTGAATTATCTGGAATCCTAAGCGGCTTTCAGTTTCCTTTTAAAAAGTATTAACCAGAACTTCCTAGCCTTTTTTGTTGTTGTTGTATAAGTGATTACTTTTCTGCATCTTGACTGCCTGACCTCTAGGATACCCAGGGGCATCTTTAAATCAGAAAATCATTCACCTTCTTTCTCCTGTAACTTCTTTTTCTTTCTCCTGTCACCTTCTTTTCAAAGAGAATGTGCAGTTGTGTGTGTTGGTCTTTGATTCAGAAATATTTTATGTAAGGCCTTCAAAATCTTAAGCATTTTGTAAAAGTCAGTAATACAAACTGCTATTAACATGCATTTGTCTTTAAAGTGGGACTTGACTTTTTTTAGGAATTCGTTGAAACCGTTTTTCATCGTCAGTGTTGATGTGTGAATACAGAGTTGTTAGTGCTGGGCCTGCAGTAATTGAATGAAGGATCTCTGGGTGTTCTTTAGACTTGAGCTTGCATAGAAAACGAGTTAACAACTTTTACTAGAAAGTACATTATTTGTATGTACAGTTTCCTAGCTGTGCTGTGTTACTTAGTATTTGCTACGGACGTATATTGGAATTAGTGCTCCAGAGGAGCCATGGGGTCCCAGAAAATCAAATGCAACTGAATGAGCTTTTTTTTTTCCCCTTGGATTCATTCAGATTAGCTGAAAGTTTGTGAAGTTTGTCTGGCTTTAGAGCCTGCACTCATAAATCAATCATTATGCAGACTATTCAGTTCAATTCAGTTGCTCAGTTGTGTCTTAACTCTTTGCAACCCCATGGACTGCAACACACCAGGCCTCCCTGTCCATTGCCAACTCCCGGAGTTTACTCAAACTCATGTCCATTGAGTCTGTGATGCCATCTATTATGGCCTGTGAAATCTGTTTGAGTGTGGTGAAACTGAGTAGAAAACATCTCAGTCTTGTTTTCCATGTAAAAATAGTTGGATTTTGAAGTGTTTATGATTATTTCCTATATGATCTCAGTGACTTTGTGTAGATGATAACAGAGAACAGGCTCAGAGCTAAAGACACTCATACAGTTTGTTAGCCTTTCTTTTTATTTGTGACAAACACCCTTCCCCCCTTTTTTTAGACCAAAGAGAGTCTCCAGTATGCATTAGAAACCCTGACTATGAATGGCTGCTCCGTGGAGGATCTGGGATTGGATTTCACTCTGCCAGGGTTTCCTAACATTGAACTAAAGAAAGGAGGAAAGGATATACCGGTCACCATCCACAATTTGGAGGAGTATTTAAGAGTGCGTACTGGCCACATCCCCTGGAGAGAAGGCCATTGGTGGTCACATGGGGTGGGGCCGACTGCTATGAGGGAGGGGGTGGGATGGGCGATCTGTGGCTGGGAGCTGCTGCATAGACTGGTTTGAGACCGTCAACACCCGGGGTGACTACATGAAGTCCCTTTTTTCAGGCCTTAACTTCTGTTTGCACTTGAGACATTGCCAGATATTTCACAGTATGCCTCATGTATAGCTGTGAACTCTGCCTTTAAGCTTGAATGCCATCTAATAACATCATATTTTCTTAGTTTAAGAAAAAAATCAGTGAAAAGGAACATCCCTTGTGTTGTCTCTAAACTGCATTTCTGCTTTTCTCTCAAGCCACTTAACTTGACCTCATTGCCTTTGATGCTCTCCATACCTGTGTACAGACGTTTATGTTTGTTTGCACTCTTCACCATCCTTGACCCTATTTATTAAGGAAAAACAATTTTGTACTGATCCAAATTATATTTTAGATTGCAGTCTATATGTCTTTATCATGACTACTTTTGGAAAAGTTTCTTTTGTTTTATTCCTGACTTTGAATGGAAAGAGCATTGGGTTCTAGACAGAAAGCCACCTACAGCTCTGAGACCAGACTTTTCCAACAGATGGTAATTGTGACTCTTGAAACATTATCTTTAATTCTCAATAACATTTCATCCTCTTGGGAAGTTTCATGTGGTTTTCATCTGGTAAGGTAATTTGTAACTCACAGGGATATTATATAAATAAATTCTAAAAACACACTAAATATAAATGCATGTGGCATTTTTTACATATTCTTAATGGCCAGACCCTGAATCAGAAGTTGACCTGACCTATCTGTTACTTACGCAGTTTTCTGCAACATATTCTAAAGACCTTGGAATTTTTTTTTTAAGTGATCAGGAAGGATATTTCACTCTACTTTGCCAAATATTAAATAGGAAAGAAACTTGGACTCTGGTCACAGATTTTTAAAGAATTTTTATTTATTTATTTTTTTTTGCAGCTGGTTATATTTTGGGCACTAAACGAAGGTGTTTCCAGGCAATTTGATTCATTTAGAGATGGATTTGAATCAGTCTTCCCACTCAGTCATCTCCAGTACTTCTACCCAGAAGAAGTGAGTAGCTTGTGTGCAGAAGAAATGGTCATCTCTAGTTCCATACCTGTAATTATCTTAGTGAGGTATCTCTGTGCTTTTTAGTCAGATACCCTGTTGTTATGAGCAAATAAAATTGTGGAGGGTTGGGCGTTAAGCGGGTAGTTTGGGAAAAATAAGATCATTTCCTGAGTGAGAACGAATATTGAATATGATGTGAATATTTTTTTATACTATATTTTCTGGCTAAATCTGCAAATCTTTGAATGACTTAGCATTTTAATCTCAATTATTTTTATGTCCACTTTGATTTGCTACAACGTGTATACCTGGCACTTTTAGGCACTAAGTGTCACCTGGAATTGAAAACAGCAAGGGTTGCTTTTGGATTTTGGATCCTGGTCCCCACTGCCTGGGGCTTCCCAGGTGGCTCAGCAATAAAGAATTTGCCTGCCAGTGCAGGAGATGCAGGTTCAACCCTGAGTCAGGAAGATCCCCTGGGGAAGGAAATGGCAGTTCACTCCAGTGTTCTTGCCTAGGAAGTCCCGTGAACGGGGGAGCCTGCAGCCTACAGTCCGTGGGGTCGCAGAGAGTCAGATGCAACTTAGTAACTAACAGCTTAGCTGCTGTGACCTTATCCAGGCTTTCGTATATAAGCTGACTGGCTCATTCATAAAATTGAGGTAAACTTTGTCTCACTGAACAAAATACATAAAGTGCCTGACAGTGAGTGACATGTCGTAGATACCAAATTTCACATGTGCCGAATGGATTTTCTCAAAGTAGACAAGTCATCCCACAAATGGGCAGTCAATCAGGTGAGAGATGGTTTAACTGGATACTGATCTTAGATTTTTATCCTAAGGACATGAGCATTTCTTTCTTTCCAACATCTGCCTGTAATGACTGTCTTAGTCCTAGACAGCCATCTGGCATAGAAGTGCCTTTGCAAAGCGGGAAAACCTCCCCATTGGCTGTTGGTTCAGCTTTGTTCTTCCACTTCTCCTGCTCAATATTCTCTCTGTTAGCTTCTGTTATTGTGTGCCCTTGTGTTTGTAAAAGTCAGAATTTATAAGATCTCTCTGGTCAGAGGTAGATTATGAAGTTAAAGCCTCTAAAGAAATGAGAAGAATTAGGTAGGTTTTGATTCAGATTAAAGGCTTCTCTAGAACCTAGTCCCTGCAGATGGTCAGGGCACCCGTTACTGTCAGCTACAGAGGAGAGTGAATCTGTGATTAATAGTGGAAGAGCACTTTGTATAAAGAACACCAAGCAGAAGCTTATGGACTTCATCTCAGCACACCATAAAACAGAAAGCGTGTGCCGCTTCGCTCAGTTGTGTCCTTAGTAATCTGTTGCCCTTGTTTAAACACACAGCTGGATCAGCTTCTGTGTGGTAGTAAAGCAGACACTTGGGATGCCAAGACACTGATGGAATGCTGCAGGCCAGATCACGGTTACACTCATGACAGGTAAGGCCTGGGCTCTGCAGGTGTCAGATACACATAGAGGTCTAGGCTTTAAGATTTGTTTCCCTATTAAAGGAGGCTTTCCAATATTTTGGCTTCTTTTCTCTCAAGACTGGGGCTTGAGGACTGAAAGGGGTTTTGGGGCTTTTTTGCCCTAAGTGTTTTCTGTGAAAATGGGCAGAATAGGCAAAGATGGGGATCCCAAGGTCACCCCATTACCCATTTTATGTACAGTAGAGGGGAAATACCTGTACAGTCCCAGACAAGTCTCATTTATCACCAGAGTAGCCATTCCATTTGAATTGCAGCTGTAACAACAGAACAAGTTTGTGTGTGTTCATAAAGTGAATTCATATGTAGTCATGTTTGCATTTAACAGTCTCTAGCTCATTGTAAGTCAGAAATGTATTTTAATATGATGAGATAACTTTGATGTATTTATTTCTGTTGTAGTCGGGCTGTGAAGTTCTTGTTTGAGATTCTCAGTAGTTTTGATAATGAACAGCAGAGGTTATTTCTCCAGTTTGTGACAGGTAGCCCACGATTGCCTGTTGGAGGTGGGTACAACTATTGATTTATTGTAGCTGTGTGGAGGGGGATGGTGAGAGAGAGAGTGTGTGTGCATGCAAAATTGCAGTGTCAACAGCAGGATATTTTTTGACTTACAAATGCCTCTTAGTTCCCTGGTGGCTCAAATGGTAAAGAATCTGCCTGCAATGCAGGAGACCTGGGTTCAGTCCCTGGGTTGGGAAGATCCCCTGGGTAAGGGAATGGCAACTCATTCCAGTATTCTTGCCTGGAGAATTCCATGACAGAGGAATCTGGTGGGCTACAGTCCATGGGGTTGCAAAGAGTCAGACATAACTGAGCAACTAACACTTTCTTCTTCTTTCTAGTTCTGTAATATTGCTCTGTTAAGTGTTCAGTGTGCTAGGAGACAAGAGAGATCTCTGGCAAGGCAGTTCATAGAGACCCTTACACTGAAGTGGGAGTGCTCACGTACATGGAGTACTGCTTGCCTGTACTCAGATTCTCCGGCATTTGTACATGTTATAAACCCTTAGATGAGAAGTGGTTCTAAAGTCTGTTTTTTTCAGAGATGAATCCTAATACGGGTTGAATTGGCACTCTTTAAAAAACATGAGGAAAGCATAAAGCACTGTTTGCCGCCGTGTCATAGTGACTTTGAATGGTGGATAAAGCAGGCACCAGAGTCCTTACACTGAGTGTATCTTGAGTGGGCAGAGTTCATTACCCAGGAGGAAAAAGTGCCTTCTGTGTGCGGTCATTTTGTGCAGCCGAGCAGTGTTGGACGTTTTCTGATGGAAGTGGATAGGAAAGGGTACTGCTTGTGATTCCAGACCGATTCTCCTCATGGTTGAGACACGAATTTTCCCTGTGCTCTCTCATGGGCATCCTGTCAACTTACCACGTTCCTTTGTCCTTCTTCCTTCCCTCTTCATCAGGCTTCCGGAGCTTGAATCCACCTTTGACCATTGTCCGGAAGACCTTCGAATCAACAGAGAACCCAGATGACTTCCTACCCTCTGTCATGACCTGTGTGAACTATCTTAAGTTGCCGGACTATTCAAGCCTCGAGATAATGCGGGAAAAGCTGTTGATGGCCGCGAGAGAAGGGCAGCAGTCGTTCCATCTTTCCTGATCACATCAGGAAGCGCGGTGTCTGCCTGTTACAGCAAAAGACAGAAATCATGATTTCTTTTCTAAATGTGTCACCTGAGTCAAGGAAACATGTTACGCCTTCTCGTAGGAAAATGGCTTGCAGAATATAAAAGAGACACTTGGTTCCTCTTCATTAATGGCCCCATGGACTTAAAGTGATCAGGCCCTAAAACGTTGTTGTGATGAGGTTTCTTTAGCAAGTTCTTGTTTAAATTATCATTTATTTGACGAGTGAAGTTTTTAACTTGCTTTGCTGTGTGAAATTTAAAAAAGGGATGTTTTTCCAGGCTGAAACAATAAATGTCGCTGTGCAGTTTAATTCTGGGCTGTGTGTATCCATCTAGCTAAGTCTGCAGTTTTGCTTCCTCCAAAGACAACTCTTGTACAGAAATTCAAGCTCACGTGTGTTTGACAAAAACAGTTTAGTAGGTGAGCTCTGTGCTTTCCGCTCTGCACCCTCCCACCCTCTCTCGAGTTTCCCCACCCGACCCTTGTACTGTCTGTGCTGCTCACACAGGTTTTTTGTGTACAAAATCCAAAGTTGGTACATCTTCGTCAGCCATGGGCTTTTGTTGTTCCATGTTCTTAAATTAAGATATAATTTAAAATTCATGGAATTGAAGTATATTGTCAGTATAAGTCAGCCCTTATAACTAGGTAGCTTTTTCTAAGAGCTTAGATGTACCAGGGCCGTGGGGTATCACTGGCCTTACACAAGGGACACACTAGGACTGTTTACTACATGTGATTCCCGCAACCACCACCTCCCTAGTGGAGGCAGGGAGAGCTCATTTGTTTCTTTTGTGTTGGTTAAAAAGTTCTGCATCTTGGGCTGGCCAGTGTTTATTATTCTATGGTCAGAGCATTTTGAATTGATACATAAGGTTTTAAGCAAAATTAGCAGTTTACATTCCCTGTTCGAGTAGAAAAACAATTTTTTTTCTTTTCCCCTTGTTCTCGTTTTTAAGTTTTTCCCCCACCGTCTTTTGTTCCTCCAGTCTCCTCTTCCCCTCCTCCTAGTGCTCACTTGGGACAAACAGCCCAGCCTTTGTCTCGACACAGATAGAACACCTATAAGCAATGCTCTGTCCAGTTTTATGTGCTGATTTCTCAAATCTGCAATAATTCATCAGGTTCATGTTTTTACCTGAAAATAAAGTTTGCTTCACCTTTTTGTTTATATTCTGTGCTGTATGCATAACTCTCAATTGTATAGATGCATCTCAACGCAAGCAGATCATCACAGCTCTATGATTTGCGTCATGGCTGTTTGTGCTATTCAAAGAGTTGAGAATAGAAACTTGAAGAACATAAAAACTGGAAGGAGAATGGGAGGAGATTCCTTCCTTCCTTCCTACGGTTCAAAATTAAGCCAGTTGCATAAAATTTGAGAGAATTTCCATAGTTCATCTTTCTGAAAATGGGTGATGAACTGATTTTTTTTTTTTATTGGACTTTGAGAAATCAATTTTGTTTGTTCTAAAGTCTTACTTCATTGATGTAGAAGCTCCTTTGTTCCCTATTCCACCACCTTAGAGAAATTCAGTGGCTTGTTTTATTTAGATTACTTTGTCATTTTACACTCAAATGGCCTTATACGAGCATCTTTTTAATGAACCTGGGCAGTGACCCTGGTTGGGTGAGTTAGGTGTTAGGTGGGATGGAGCAGTGAGTGGAGACTGAGGCACCTCCTGGGTCCTTGCAGAGGCTCTAGCGAGCAAAGGGGCTTCACCTTGGCATCACCTTGAGGGAGCTGTGTCTCTGCAGTTCTAGATGAACACCATAGGACCTGTGCAGTTTAATCAAGCAAAACTTGTTTTAATGAAGGAACTGATTTGTTTTTAAACTGTTCTGAAACCTATCTTTTTACAGACTTTAAGCACAAAAGATTTTTGCCTGAACATAACATTTTTGTTCCTCTTTTTTTTAAAGGATTCTGTTGTTAAAATTCCCACATATGTATAAACAATGTTTCCTATTTGGATATATGTATTTACCATTTCAGTCATTTCATGGCCCTGGCAAATTTGGCCTCATTGATGTCAGCATCTAATGAGTACATTAGTTGGTTTTTGAATCACACTCTGGAGCTTGATTGTTTCAAAGTCAGTAGTTAACCTGTTTAAAAGCTTTCAGTCCAACTTACCTCCTTAATTTGGGGGTGGTGGGGGAGTTGGTCCTTGGTTAATTAGGAGCAGGAAGACCCTTCCCATTTTCAAGCAATCTGCCTAGGACAGAGGCCTTAATACTACATCATAGGGAAAAATACCCTTCATTTGCTGTTACTCCAGTTATGCCTTAAATTTATTTGCTGAGTAACCCTGTCACCACTCACTGCTCTCTAAGGATGCTTTACACATGTAGACAGTTGGATAGTGACTAAGACCTTATTGTCCTTTACAGTTCTCTCTGAAGTGGAGTCAGTCAGATGTTAGTCATAGCTAATACCAACTGTGGGGTTGACATTCAGACGGTGACCGATTTGCTCTACTTTGTAGATGAAAATGTTTTTAACTATTTAAGAAGGAAGAGTTAGTGAAATGTATTCCCCTCCTCCCAGCCTCTCGCCCCCAACTCCACCCCCCTAAAGTGAATTGTGAGTGTCCAGTAGTCTCATTAGGAACAGACGTGGAGAGAATTCTAGATGCCTTAGCTAACCTTCTACACAGTCCACGGGACACTTGCTGCTCTTCCCGTGTTTCAGCTCTGCTTCCCTTAGTTGGTGGTGATGGAGAACTGCCCTTCAACTTAGCATTCTCTGAAGAAGGTAGTACCCTAAAGTCCTTCTGTCCCACGTTTGGCTATACTTGTGAGTTTGGTACATAACATGGAAAGGAGAGGTGTAGCTGGCTGGCCGACATCACTTCCTGTCCTCCTCTGGGGCATCCTGTGCATAAAGGCCGTTAGGGTGAGCGACAGCCCCAACTTCTGCATCTAAGACATGAGATTCAGCTCTTGCTTTTTCCACAGTAAGGATTATTGCCAGCAAATTGAGCGTGTCTTCCTGTTAGTCCAACAGGTGTTGAAACTGTGCTCCCGATTCCTGTCAGTGAGTAGACTGAGGAAATGGGAATGTTGCTGATATTCCACGGGGGAAAAAAAAAATGTGATGAAAAAGGAGACTTGCTGGGGAAAGACCTAACTGCATTCAGAAACCAAATCCTCCTGGGAGAGGTTCTGGATGCTGAGGTTCATTCTTCATCAGCAAAGATGATCAAGCCTTTAATTCAGTTATCTTGGGCTTTGGTTGCTTGACCCACTTTATTTTCCCTACTGTAATGAGAACATTGTTTGAAAATGTCGTACTCTGTATTTCTAACTCTGAGAAATGCTTTTGTATGGGTCGTAGGTTTGACGTTGCAGTAGTTGACATACCTGGTAAGGGATAACCTAGTGACAAATCACTGAAAATGCTTCCTTTGTTACCTCAAAAGAAAAAAAAATCCAGACAAAATATAGCATTTATATTTATAGAAAATGGAGAATTGGCTGTTTTCAAGACCTTCAAGTTAATTCTTATGCAAGAAAAAGTTCTTAACTCTAAAGACTTGTTCTGCATCAAGGAGACACTCTTTAATATTGGAAGAGGTGGTTTTATTTTTACAACAAGCCTACTCATACTACCAAACTTATAACCAATTGCTGATCTCCTGTGTAAAGCATTTTTTTTCTCTTATCTGAAACAGTGATTTATATGAACTGTTGGAATAATGGAACCTCAAAATACAGATGTGTATGTAAAATTGCATAAATGCACTGACTTCCTTCTCCCTGAATATATTTTTAATAAACAGCATTATCCTACATGGTCAGTTTTATTAAATTATGCATAACTAGAAGGTTCTTCTGAGAAGGGGTATGCTTGTGTGGGTGGCTTTTGGAAAGCTTCCTAGTGAGGTAAGTAGCACAGTAATGTTAGCCTTTTGGGGAACAGATTACAGCAAGTTACAGGAGCCAGATGTATTCAGGGAGATGACCAGCGAACTTGCTTGTTGGTAGAGAGAGATGGCACCTCTCCTGAAAACTCTGCAGTGGTGAAGCGGGGCCCTGGGGTGGGAGGTACTTGGCAGTGCACAGACATAAAGCCTCCTGCTTGAAGCCCCTTGAAGTCACTGTTCCTTGCTTTCATGACTGGCTGCTCTGCCTTTAACCACGGTCTGGATCATCAGCCTTTTTCACTGAGATTTAAAAAGAAACGTCAAACTGATTTAGGAAAGCAAAGGAGGTGGGGGTTTTGTTTGCGTGCTTTGCTTTGCCTTTTTTTTTTTGTACTGGAGTATAGCCCATGAACAATTTTGTGTAGTCTCAGGTGGACAGTGAAGGGATTCAGCCATGCATGCACATGTATCTATTCTCCCCCAAACCCACCTCCCATCCAGGCTACCACATAACTTGAACAGAGTTCCATGTGCTATACAATAGGTCCTTACTGTCCTTGTTTTTTAAGAGTGATGACTGGGTTTAGGGGGGGTTTTGTTGCTATTTTCAAGAGAACAAATGAAATATATATATGTATTAGTTCAGTTGCTTAGTCATGTCAGACTCTGTAACCCCATGGAGTGCAACACGCCAGGTTTCCCTGTCCATCACCAACTCCCAAAGCTTGCTCAAACACACATCCATCGAGTCGGTGATGCCATCCAACCATCTCATCCTCTTGTCCCCTTCTCCTGCCTTCAGTCTTTCCCAGCATCAGGGTCTTTTCCAATATATATATACACGCATAGTTATACACAGCACAGCACATATGTACATACACATAACGCATATTCTGTATTGTCTTTGTATAACTACCAAAGGGTAAAACCACATTTTTCCCTTGATGAGTCTCTTGGTCCATAAAATGACTTTAAATCACAGATGAAGGGGGCTGCAAAGTGCAAGCTCCCCCCAGACTGGCCTGTATGTGAAGTCTGTGCAGAGCGTCTGCATCACTCATTCTAGGGTGGGGGTGGGCCTCAGAGGATCACATTTTTGGTT